TTTAAACGTTTAAAACTTTAATATTTATCACATGATAGCATTATCATAAAATAAAATCCATTTTAGATTAGGACACGGGCAGGACTCGAACCACAGCGTTCCAGGTTTCTCTAACAAGTTGAGCTACCGTGTCAATTCGTTACAGCAATAGCACAAACACGTTAAATGGCTTAAAAGATGGTATATGCTATACTAATAAACATATCCAATACTATGACTTGGTTAATAAAAAAAATAAAATATATGTCATGTTATGTACAGTTAAAGTAGTTTTAAAAATAAGTACATATTTATAATAATTCTTCTTGCTAGTTTCCCAACCGAACGAGTAACAGTGAAAAGATAATAGCTCTCACTCGGCCATACTAGGAATGCTGGAAGCAATTGGCGAGACCGATCTTGCTTCGTCATTTCAATACGATCTTAAACACCGCTAAAATGATTTTTGACGCCCATATAAGGGTTCTTTGGTTTTCTCTTGTACAAAAATTTTATATGCGACTTAATATGAACTCTTTCAGTTTTTTATCATCTTATAATGTCAATCTAGACTAAATCAGAATCTTATAAGACCTATCTATTATCAAAAGAAACGCTTGTACAAGACTTACATTTAGCTCCAGAACCCCCGGTTCCTTTACCCTGAAATCGAACCTCGGGCATAAGGCTTCACCAATACGTCAAAGTAGCGATATAATTTGTTGGAAACATGTTATAATTTTCTTACAAATTTTAATTATTGTGCATGAACAACTCGTATAATATACGTGTAAACTTCTTGACGTGATAGACTATCATAAAATATTAGAAATGTGTTATTATGTCAACATTCTGCGCTCGATATCGTGTAGAGGTATTTTTTTAAGTATCCCTGAATAATCCAACATTAATAGTATTTTTTACGTTATGTTATTTACAATTAATAAACCTGAAGTACATAATATGTATGGTTTATAATAGAGGAGGGCAACATATAACAGACAAGCGTATAATTCCCTTATTGAAAGATGGTCGACCTATTTTAGCTTTGGATGGAATAGTATGGATAGAAATGCGATTAAATTTTCGGTTTGTCTTTCATGTAAAATTTCGATATTCCAAATTATAAATTACGACGCGTTAATTACTAGCCATAAATTGCTGCTAGACCAAAGAACGTTTTTTGTAACCAACTAATAAAAGTTCTAGATTCTAGAATTTAAGTCAGAAAAGTTTAACAAAAATAATTACAAGGCCGCTGTATTTATCGTTGTTTTACAGTATTTTGATAGAATATCTACTAGTATATATGTTATTATAATCATGCCTGTATTCCATCGATTAGACCAACCAGTTTGTTACTCAATAGATCCGGATTGGAACTTTCAGCGTTAAGTAAAAGTGGTGATACTGCCGCGCCGCGCTCATAAAAACAATAAATTATCATCAAAACGTCTTTACGATGATAAATGTTATAATTTTACATAAATTTGATACGTAACACCAAAGTAAAATCGTTGCATAAAAAAATTTGTTGGTAGTTTTTTTTTCTTAATAAAAAAATATGGACACTTAATTTATTTTCTAATATATAGATTGTAAAACCTTACCATTTTTGAAAGGGACGTTTTCCGATCAAAGTTCCCCATTGCAAAAGTTTAACTATTAATACAAAAATCCATTCAACAACAACAGTTTCACATAATTCACAACCACGAAGTATTTGATAAAAATAATAGTGTCACTGGCTGCACGCACTTTTTTTTAAATAAAAATATGACAGGTGACAGTTCGCGCGATCTGTTTTGGCGGGAAACGTGAGGTAGCGCGGGCCGCTCGTCAAAGACTGCCAATATGGCGGGTTTTTTTGAGGGTTCACACGAGTCGATTCACTTTCTACGACCTTAGTTGTGTGCTTGTAATTAATTGTTATACGTTACGTAAGGCTAGTGTTAATAGTAATATTTACTTATTGGAAAAGTCAATTTACGATAGATGACACTGATTTTCTTTATTTATAAATAGCTTACGGCATTATTTCCTTCTTTTTTATAAATCTACAATTAAAATTGTTAATATTCATTATTTAAAAATAATTTTAAACATAAAAATCTTTATTGAGTTACTCACTCAATAAAGATTTTTATGATAGGAGATAATATACATAAGAATTGTTATAGAACATGTGCTTAAGTTTAAAAACATTATTTGGAAATTAGGTCTAAGAGACTGTAGAACTGAAGATAAAACGATGAATAAATATACTTAGCAAAACGTTGTCCTATGCACTTATACATAGAATCACGTAGCTTTTGCAATATAAATTACAACTCATCCTAACAGCCTTGAGGACGTAACGCGTTGAACTCTTTTGTATGAACAACATTCAACGCACATAGACTTATGTTTTTTGCTACAATAATTTTATACTTTAACACATTAAACCTTTGCTTTTATTAATTAATATTGTATGAAGAACTTCTTAAATCATCGGTTTTATTAAATTCTGTTCTATATTGTTAGAATTAAATAATCTACAGCAGGCACAGATCGTCCTTTATTGAACAATAGGAACAAAGAAAATAATTATATAGCTAATATACGATATTAATAAATATATTAGTTATACTTATTTAATTCGATATATTTCGCGTTTTAAACCGTTAAAGTGTTTTATTTAAATGTATACCTCTCGGGTCAACTAAAGGAAATATTAAAATTCTTTTAAAAAGTTAAATACAAATGGATTTACATTTAAATGTAGGGCGAAACACGAAATATGAATCACGAAATTCCACCACAATCTAAATATAACACCTAATCCTACTTACTGAATATTCATAAGTATTAACACTAAAGCCTAGCCCGCAAAACATCTAACCTAAAACATTTCGATATATTAGTTACAACGTCGCAAAAACCATGTACGTGGAATGCGGTTCGCCACGCCCCAAACACACGCTCCTTTAAATTAGCTCATTTTTGCGTATAAATGTCTCGAAATAGTTTAATTGATTATCAGAATGACGCAACCAAGTATGTGGTGACCAAAACTTTACATAATATAATTTAAATAAAACACTTTAACGCTTTAAAACGCGATATATATTAGTTAAACTTATTTGGAAATTATTTAACTAATTTATATCGTTTTAAACCATTGAAGTGTTTTATTTTAATGTGTACTACTCGCGTAAACTACAAAAAGGATATAATTTAATTTACTATGAATTAAATTCAAGCTACACTTGTAGCTGCGTGATATCTAAAAAAATATTAGGTTTTTGATTATAAGCCACCCTATGATGTACTTCTTTCTATATACAAACATTATTTCTGTGACAAAGGACAACAGGCAAGCATTGGGAGTCACTTTCTAAATAAATATCCATACATCTGTAGATGTTGGTTACGGATATTTGGAAGTCCCCTGACTAAAACCAAAGCGCAAAATTACCACTTATATTACTTCGTATCTTGTGGCGGTGGTTCGTAAATCCACGCCTAAATTTGATATTATTACCACACATTGAATATCATTATTCTCAAAAATATATAAATTGATTTTAGAAACATATAAGGCCCGGTGGGACAACGATTGTTTAACTATGTATTACTAATTTATTAAGACAGCTCTTGGTTTCTTTAAAAATTTAGCGCCTTGAAGATATGTATACACAAACTGTCTTAACAGAGTATGATGGAATAATATAATCATACTTTATTGAAGAAAATTAAATTAGAAATACATAGGTACATCTTGGCACCGACAAGTAAAAGAATATAATGTGTTGAAACTTTTACTATTATAAAATCTTAATAGAATTGCTACACCATCATTACAGTAAGAGTCTCATTAAGTTAATAATAATGGTTGCATACCATTTTCATTTTAATTAAAGCAATTGCACAACTCTGAAATAATTTTTGACTGCCTAGTTGTCATGCGTAATCCTGTAATGCATGCTGTCTTTTTTGATGTTGTAGTGACAAAATATCTTATATGCAACCATCATTTTCTTACTAAAATCAACATATTGAAATATATTATCTTGATAATACATTTCTAAATTATAACTTTATATTGCGACAACAGAACAACTAGCTTATTATAATGCTTTAAGTAGGGGTTGAGTTGTTGTACTAAATATTGCTTTTAATGCTAGGATAAGATTTTCGTGCGTGGGTTCGTAATTACACCTGCCTCACTAATATTAAAACTAAAATTAAATTTATAAACGTTTTAAAATTAAATGTGTAATGATTGGCCGGTTGCTTGCTCTACAGAACTATGATAGCAATTCACGAAAAATGTGGTTAGACTTGATAATTAATTAGAATTCCAATATCTGAACCCCTGAGACCGATCGGCGGACTTGATGCCCTTAACGGAACAGGATATCCGATATAACAGTCTGCTGTCGTGAATTTTAATATCAAGTTCATAGAATCACTGTAGGTACCATAAAGGTATTTAGATAATTCTATCTCCAAATTGATATTTGTCTGACAATTAAATAAAAAAATAAATACTTTTATTGAAAAATATAAAGTAATAAATTTGGCGATCTTTGTTAGGTGGAAATTTTACTATTCAAATCATTTTTTTAATTTCTTCTGAATTTACTTCTACTTAAAAAGTAATTTTATTTAAAATATCACGAAGAAAATTATTATTTTTTTAATAATATCCTTACGGTGCTGTATTCGGTTTAATACTGCAAAAGAGTAAAACTATTTTGGTAAATGGTAATCCTACAGAAAACTGTCCATTGTCAGTATGACACACGTGTGGCGTTTGACATATGTCAATTGCTGACGTCGAACATCAACACCGATCTAATTGAATTTTCATTTATAGTCTGTACCGGGCACGGATGGCCGTCATTTGAGTTTTGTGAATAGAAAATATTACGCGCATTCGGATCGATTTATTAAAAATCTGTTTTTAAAACAAAATTGTCCTGATAACGATATGTTGTGATTGTATTTATTTATAAGTGAAGTTGTAACGATCAGCAATGGCAAAGTAAGTGCAAATAATTTAATTCGGCTTTACGTTAATTGATTGTTGCCTGTACGCTCGACAAGTAATATTAGAATTTATTAGCAAACATAGTAGAAGAGAAAGCTACTGTTCTTGCCGCTAAGATAACTGTCAGCTATTATAACTACATATGTTCATGTCTTAATTTTCCTATTTGCCTCTTGGCAATTTGTGTTATGTATTACTTTTTTAAAATAAGTCTTTCGCCAAATTATGAATGCAATAATTGCACATGTATTATTTAGTGATTCTATTTTATCGCGAAATAAACATAAATTATCTTGCTATTGTATTTTTATTTTGATTAAAATGTATTCTTAGCTACATATTGTGTATTATTTATGTAAACATTCAGAGAAATACCTAATATAATGCACAATTTTGTTAATACATTTGACATTGTTTTGCTAGTGTTATTTTCTTAATAGGAAAATAAAAGAAAATATAGATACACTTTCTTACATACATAGCTTGAAAGAAATATAGAATATACAGTTTTATGTTGGTGTAAAAAAATATTTTTTTAAGAATTCTATATATTTTTGCTACACATATTTAAAGAAGTTACTTCTAATTCTTAAAAAATTATAAATCAAGAATTCAAGATAAACTTTATTTGGTAAAGTTAGGTTTAGAAAATTAAACAAGAGAGTAGTACTAAAAAACAACAATAGTTATTTAAAACCAAATTATGACATAAGATTATGATTATTACACCTAATCTTGAATGTTTACAAGCCCGGCCTTTATTTGTTGCAGGGAAATGATGATAGTCTTTGTCTATGACACAGAGTGTTGTACAGCTGAAGAGGATGATCCAGCTGATGCGGTGCTCTACTTTCATCCAGGGTGGGTCTCGGATACCCAACGGCATGCTCTGGCCGGGCAGGTGGGTCTATTACATCATGCGATGACATGGTTTATGATAATAGTACTGCAATATTTATACAATTTATATTGTTTTAAAGTTTGAATGAAACTAACAAGAGGTATGATGTGTTTGCCAGTTTTTGTTTTGATATTCAACAAACCTACCACCTGGTAAATACATGGTAAAGCATTATAAATATTTAATTTAAAATATTGCATACAAACAACCAGAAGAACTATTTTGATTACATTTAAATGTAAACCGTCATTCATATGACTTATGGGATGTACACTCAAAAGGCTTGATCAGTCTTGATAAAATATAATAAATAAAGCAAATTGTTACTTCAAACATTTAACCAGAAAAAGATGTAGAATATCTATTTAAAGAGTTTTTTATGAAAGAGGAGAACAAGAAGCAAGCGAAAGTTTCACTTGACAAGCATTTAGAAATCCACAGACTGAAATCAAAACTAAGGAGGGGGAAATTCAATACTCCTACAGCCTATTTAATATCGAGATTTAGGAGACGAAGTGCAACATGTTTTTAGAAAAAATATAAATTTATTTAATAAGCACCTTGGACCTGGTGTAAATGTACGATGCCCACCAGGTCTATGATCCGCTAGTTATTATTACCCACACAATGCACTATTTAAAAATATTACTATATTACAGAATAGGATCTCGTTCCTAAGTTTTATTGCGTCAAACGCCTGAAATCTGTATCACAGTAAACTCCAAAAGGACAAGTAGCGATTTACGAGCATTTGTTTATGTCGGCCATAAAGAATGAAGAAGGGTTTGAGTGTCCATAAAAACGCAACAAAATTTATCTGTCACATTGTGTCACCATTTGCATATTTAAAACGAGTTTAAATCTATCGAGATATTTCGTCAATATATTTTTACCCCACTAGTACACATTTTAACAAAATACTAACTGTTACTGGGAGACCACGACTGTTGCGAACCATCCGAAACGTCGAGCAGTAGGTAAAATAATTTTCAAATAAGTTTAACTAAATATACATCGCGTTTTTAATTGTTCAATTGTTTTATTTAAATGGACTGGACTTTGGTTGGTACGAATTGAGATATTTCGTCCAAGGCATGACTTAAAGCCTATAGATAAAAATACTGTTAAGTGTAATCACGTTTTGGTTTTAATCTGTAATTATATCTTAAGGTCCAAAACCAAAGTCGGTCGACATTACATCTTGTTTGGACGGTTAATGGCTGAGGTATTTCAATTTCCATCGCATTCCACGCTTGCCAGTTCTCCTCTGTCATAACGAAAGAGCCTATATGGGTCGAGTATTCGTAAAAGCTTATCAAAAACTAAAATCGGTTACACGGTAACTAAACGCTATTGCCTATGGGTTTTAGTACCAATGTTCTATCAGTTTTTACTTTTTTTTTAAATAAGCACATTTTATTGGGTATAATAATAATAATAATAATTTATTTGTCAGACCATAGATCCATACATTATTTTAAAATAATACATAATTAATTAATTCTAATGTGCGTTAGTTGGGTTAGTAACAATTTTTAATAACTGAGATGTTATTTCAGGTGGTCGGAGCCGCACACTGCGTCAAATCTCTTTTTTCACAACCCTCAGCTATCACGCTTCAAAGTGGAAAGTTCATCATCAGAGAATATGGCAGATATGTATTGGTGAGTATTATAACTAACTATACAACTATCCTATCCAAAGAATAAATGTTAAATGAGAGTCAAGTCGTATTACGGTTGTTGATTTTGACGTGCCAATTGAGCCTGGGTAAGTTTTAAAAAGTTATAACCCGTTGCGCGTGAGCTTCATTATTGTCAACAAAAATCTGTGATTGAAAATATCCCAAATAGCCCCAACAAATGGCATATTAAAAACAGTTTATATACGGTACTCATAATTCGGTTGTTTGGAGTTAATTATATAACAAATATAGAGTTGCGTTGGTTTCGCATCTCATAAAGGACTATATTGGACAATGGTATACTATATGTATAATTTAAAAATCTAAAATAAATTGGAAAAAATTTCGACTCGGGAACCGACATCGTCAGCGTTCCGTGCTGTTGCTCTATCAATTTATTTTCGATTTTTAAATTATATAGTGCCTTACATAACATGTATAAAATAATAAAGTTTTCAAATGTTTACTAAATATATATATTTGATTTTTTGTAAATGAGCGTATCTAGTTCTTATACCACGATATAATCATAGCTGCAATTCAAAACAAGACGGTAGTTACAATGGCCGGGTTTACTAATCTTTATTAGTTGGATTACGTTGAGATTAGTCGCCTGAAGCCTTACTTCGTATTTACTAATAATTATTAGTGGTTGCCGTTGCTTTGTAATTGTTTACAAATTAGAGTCAACGTCATGTCTTTACTAAAAATGATTTATATCGCTACTGAAAAGTCTAAGACTCTACTTAAGATTACTACTACTACTACTACGACTAGACTTAAGATTTTAAGATAAATTTACGTGATTTATTTTTGGAAAGATCTTATGAATACCTTATCATATTTCGTCGCTCCAAAATGACACTGTGTAATATAATCATGAGCAAGGCAAACGAGTGTAAGGCAATAAATATAATTAAATGGGGCCTTGATAGAATGTACGCGATATTCATTTAATCTTAGTGGCTTCATCGAATTTAGTAATATTAATTTTTAAACATCGAGAAATCAAAGAAAATTTTACAGATCTATACTAATATTGTTTAAATTAAGTTTGTTTGTTCGTCTGAACGCGCTACTATCAGGAACTACTGATACGAATTGAAATATTCTGTTTGTGTTGGTTTAAGTATTTATCGAGGAAGGCTTAATGGTATAAAACGAAAATATTCACGTGCGTGTGCTGTGTAAACAGTTGTACTGAAAAATATGTATCAAAGAATGATTCCTCTTTAAATGACCTAAAAACCGTCTGCGACTCGAAAGAACAACAAAACAACGTTTGCTGGATAAGTTAGTTTATTCATAGGGATAAATATAATTAAACAAAATACTGTGTATTTCGTATTACTCTGTAGAATTGTATACATGAATGATTTATTGTCACTGTTTTCATAATTGACGTTGATAAAAGCTCAACAACGCTTTGAGAATCGTCTGTTTAAGTACTTGCTGTCTACAAACATCGGGGACAATAACTGCTTGTAGAAGATGTATATATATTTTTATTTTATATTGTATGTATATATTCGTTATTTGTTTATATAAATACTGTCTATTGTTTACGCGAGTAGTATACATTTAAATTAAATAAAACACTAACGTTTTAAAACGCGATATATTAGTTAAACTTATTTGAAAATGACTTTTTAACTTCGGCCCGACGTTGTCTCCCCGTGACCACGGCTGCTGCAAAGCATCCGAAACGTCGAGCTGAAGTTAAAAAATAATATTCATCATGTTTTATTTCAATATTTGTTTATTTGCTCATATGCCACATTATACTATTATTCGAGTTCTCCGCTAAAGCCAAATAACGAAAACCAATCGTTTATAGGTTAATCAAGTGGAAAATTATGCGGTAATTAGCTGTAGGAACGTTTTGCTTTTGTCTGTAATTGAGTTACGGTTGATTGGATCTAGTCTGTTGTAGGTACATTTATTTTTTATTGTTATTTACAACGTTATCTTTACAAATGTAGTAATTTTGCCCAGTACTAAAATATCTTGTTTACACCCTGTGCTACAACTTACTTTGGGACAAAAAAATGTAGTTTTTTGCTATTCAAAGACCAGCAAAGTTGACATCAAATTCTTCCGAAATAAGCTAAGTACTTTTGCCGTAAAAGAGTAGCAAACTTGTCGGTAGTTTACACGAGTGATACACATTGAAACAAAACACTTTAACGGTTTAAAACGCGACTTATATTAGTTAAACTAACGTCGGGCCGTCGTTAAAATAATTTTTAAATGCTTCTAACTGATATGTATTTAATTTTAAACCGTTAAAGTGCCAAACTGTTATAATTTTAAAATACTTGTTGGGTACGACTTGATCGCTTTTAAATGTGCTACAAACCGCGATTTAGATATCCTAAGTAAATATTGAGATTGATAACGTAAATAAATGTCACTTAAGTAGCCAAAAGCCATTCGATGGCGCTTGATAAGGTTTCAATAAACCTACTTCTGACGTCGTGGTCTAGACGAGGTGCGCCCACATAATTTTGTCTTGTTGAGATTTCCGACCGTAATCACCTATTCGTTCATTCTAGTAGACAATTCGTATTTATTTAAATACTGTCTATAGTTTACGCGAGTAGTACACATTTAAATAAAACACTTTAACGGTTTAAAACGCGATATATGTATTAGTTAAACTTATTTGGAAATGATTTTTAACATCGGCCCGACGTTTCGATTTAGTTTCGAGTATTTATTTTACATTTTTGAACAACAAATTTCAGGTTTTAATAGAAGTGCAAATTTTGTTTTTAGCAAGTCGTTAACATGTAGCGTCTTCGTATGGTAAACAAGAAAAGTATTTTTTTATATATTTATTATTGAGAATTACGTTTGTTTTCTGTAAATAAAACTATTTTTTTGTTATTTATTATAATTTCTCATATCCTATAATCGTATATAGATTATCTTGTCAATGAATATACATTTTCACAGGCTGTACAGGCCTACCGGTAAAGAAGAACGTCGACAGTATTTGCATCGTTGAAAAAATCGTTATCGCAAAAGCATTACGATTGATTGATTTTGCTCTGCGAGGTGCTTCAGTACAGTTTTTATTTGAATCTGTAGCATAATATTGCTTAGAAGCATTTTTTAGTAACAAGATTCGTTTGAGTTATTTTTATTATACGTAGGTAACTAAATGTATACTTATGAAGGCCCCACTAGTTAAGACTCAAAATTTACATTTACTAATTGTTCTTAAATCAAACGGACGAGAAGAATTAGCAAGAAACTCGCCGCCACTCCTTCTTTCGCCAAGTGTTTTTACAGTCAATCTCAGTTCAGGTCGTGAATTAAAATTGCTTATGTTTAACAACATGTTTTATATATATTCCACTGTGAATCTTTCTTGCCTTTGTTTATATGTATACATCAATGTAGATAACCGCTAATTATAATTGTCAATGGTTGCCTCTTATGGTCAGGCCATCGCGATCACTCCTGTTTGCTTCTTTGACACCCTGGAAGTTTCGAAGACTATGGAAGGTATATCTTCGTAACTCCAACCTAACATCGCAGTTTCTGCCTCTAGGCTTACGTTTGTCTCTAAGTTGTGATTTCAGCACGGAACTTATGGCTTTGATTATGCGTGCCTTGGAGTCCCACAAACGTGTTCCCAGACCTCCCTCGAGCACCGTAGCGGGATAGTGGTGTGTGTATTGGTTCTGGTCGGTTATCGTCTCCGACGAAGTTGTACTACGATTTACCCCCCACGTCACTATTGCCCGACGTGGATGAGCATTAGGCATTATGCCATCAGTCAACACAAAGAGCTTTGAATGCGCCATTCTATGCACATCGATTTAGCCGTTTGGACTGCTGGACATAGGCCGGTCCTAAGCGCTATAAAACTTAAACAAGTACAGGAAATCAAAAGATAGATCCGTTTAATTACTCTTGGTAACATCTGTATTTATAAATTTGCAGCGGCAAAATTCGTATAGAAATATCCACAACCACTGAATGTTTTTATTCTACCTCTGATACGGAATACATATATTCTCGTGTAGGCTGCGCCGCGAGGTCGTAAAAATAGGCTAAGTGCGAGTCGGATTCGCGCATAAAGGGCTCCGTACTTCCGCCTCGGTACCTGCATACCTTATTAACACATTTTCAGTATTTTTTTTGTTTTAAATAAACGCCGTGACCACGACTGTATATTTCGGCGAGCGTTCGTGACTTTGTAAACAGCTAAAATAAGTTGAATCGTATATTTCGCGTTTTAAACTGTTAAAAGTATTTTCTTGAAACTCACGTAAACTACAGATATAATTTGTGACAATCTCAACTACCTATATATAGCGGTTACGAAATAACAGGCAGACAGAGCCACTTACGGGTAGGGGGTACGGGGCGCTTACTAGGAGTACGTACCTCTAAATATAAATAATTCCACATAATCCCCGGGAGATTTCCCGAGCGACTCATTAGCATTCATCGTTACGGAGTCCAGTGCACTCGAATCACGACTGGACTAATTAATGCTCTCGGCAAGAACAAACCACTTACGTTCTTCTGAATATTGAAGCGCCCTCGAGCCTATATCTAGCCTTTAATACCCTGTTCTATAGAATCGGAATTTCTAACGATAACAGTAGGTAGTTTTAGAATTTAGTCACATTTTGAGAAGGGCACTTTGATCCGATTTGCTATTGTTTTTATTTAACAAGCAAGAGATAATACCTAAACAGTCAATTGCTTTTTCTGATGTGACCTTAACACACATGGTTTAATAATTTTAAATTATGTATAGTAAAATTAGAGGTTTTGTTTTCGAGATCTCTATCTTTAGGTGGCATTCAATTATAAATTCTACTAGGAGCATAGTTACTAAGTGTAAAATAGCGACAGCGGAACGAGATGATGATGAGCGGAAAATACTTTAACTGTTTAAAACGCGATATGTTTTAGTTAAATTCGTGTTCCGTCGTAGTTGGTATTTGGCGAAAATGGTTGACCAAATACCTACTACGACTGAACAGATGGCGCTAGCGTAGCTATTTTTACTTCGACATTAGAGACATCCTCCTTTAGCCTTCCATGACCACGGCTGCTGCAAAGCATCCGAAACGTCGGGCCGTAGTTAAAATATTTTCCAATTAGGTAAGTTAAACCATATCGCGTTTTATGAGTTTTTTATTTAAATGTGTACTACTCGCATAAACTACAGTCCGCATTTAGATCAAAAATATTCACTAAAGCTTTTGGCTGTACAAACTTCCAATATAATTTGCATACACTAAACCAGACCCCCTCAAGACATCTCGGACCGTGCAACTTCGAGAAAGTTGTCGAAGACTTGACCCACATACTGAAGTGGGCATAGCATTTTTATAATTTTCAATCAATATAAAAAGTCAAGTGGTTTTCAAATATTTAGCATTATTAGCCTTCTAGCAAAATGGTTAAAGGTGTTGCCTAGCATTACCTCAAGCGCGAGAGGTCCTGGCTTTGAATCCCAGCGATACTTGTTTCCGTCTGAGATGTTTCATAGCTTTCTGCGATTAATAGACTTGAATATGCTCAAACACATTCACATTTCAGGTTAGTACTTTATACAAATAGACTCGCGATCATACAACAGTTTGACCCTAGTTAGTTTCTGAGATTATCGCGTTCAACAAACATACATACTATTCTGCTTTTTATGATATTAGTATAGATTACACGTTATGTTAAAATGATAGTGTTTTATTTACTCACTTTAATGTAGAAATTCAAACCTTAGCTAGATTTAAAAAGTAGATCGATCATATTCAGGGGTGGAAGTAAGTGTTCTATTTCCTTAAGTCGCTATCTCGTATAATCACACGAGTGTCATAAGGCTTCTATAAAGTGCAAAGGTGAACTACAATGACATTTTGAAGCAATATTACCCTATTTCATACATACAGAGATGCAGCTGCAAGGCATCCGAACCGTCTGCCATGGTTAAAATAATTTCCCAATTAGCTTAACTAATATATATCGTGTTTTAACCCGTTAATTATTTCTGTAAATTCAACAGTATTTATTTATACAAAAAAAGAAAATTTCAAGACCTTTCTGATTTTTCGGATTTCATATCAAAAGGATAAGGTCCTGTCAGGCAACAGGCCTTTAGATTTGCAACTTAGAAAAAAAACTTTAATATAATATTATAGCTGTATTATTTACAACCCATACTACAGAAAAAACACAAATAAAAAGAAATAACATCTTACGTACTAACGTATAAATAAAAGGCGGCCTTATCGCTAGGCAGCGATCTCTTCCAGGCAACTTGAAGTACAGGAGAAAAAAAAATAGAAAAAGACTTACTAAATGGGTAGATGTCAGGATTAACAAGCAAAACAAAGTTATCTAATATATAAAACTCTCGTGTCACAGTTTTCGTTGCCATACTTCTCCGAAACGGCTTGACCGATTTTGATGATTTTTTTTGTGCTTATCCGGTATCTATGAGAATCGGCCAACATCTCTCAAAATGTTCTATTTTTTTATGATACAACATACAAAAATGCATACAATCCTCAATTTTTACCCTTCTACGATCAACCCTTATTTAATAGCCATTTTAGTAAAATTATTTATATGGCAAAACAACGTTAGCCGGCTCAGCTAGTAATAATATAATAGTAATAGTTGCTGCTATAACAACAAAATACTAAAACTTCATTTATGAACATTTTAGGAGACTGTCATATATCCGAATCTGAATCTCCGAAGCAAAAAATTGGTCGACATATACCATCTTGGACTCTTCTATCAATATATCTGAACATGAACCGATAACCTAGTTAATGGCACGGAACCTTTGTTCTAAGGTCGACTCGCACTTAGCCGGTTACGGGATTTTTTAAAGAAATATTCCTTTTAAGTACTGTCTATAGTCTCCCCGTGACCACGGCTGCAGCAAAGCATCCGAAACGTCGGGCCGAAGTTAAAAATCATTTGTAAATAAGTTTAACTTATATATCGCGTTTTAAACCGTTAAAGTGTTTTATTTTAATTTTCCTTTTGTCACCAGGCAATTGGCAGCGACAGAAATATTCCAGACTGGGTGCTGAAGAATCGAGCCAACCTCCTCACTTCCATGATCAAGGTGTACCATGGTGACCTTCAGTCGTTGGCGGTCTCGATGGAAGACCAGAAGCGACTCGCGGAAAAGCTGTACCAAATCTTTGAGACGTATCTGCCCGTGCTGCAGTACGGCTGTCATATATTTCAACGAGTGCCAATGTTAAGTCTTCCAAAGGTATGTATACAAATTATTTGAAAATACATATTTGTTGTCAATAGAAATACAACTTGGGACATTCGTCCCAAATCGATTTGGTGTGTAATATCAGTGATTAGCTGTTACCCTCGGCGTCCCGACTCTCTTACGAGTCAATCTTAGAAGATTAATTCGTTATTTTTTCCATTGGTCGTAGCGGAAGCGGTAATATTATATAGCATAAAGCCTTCCTCGATATACGCGGTACATCTAAAACAAACATATTTTTTTAATTCCACCCTCTAGTTCTTGAGATTAGTTCGTTCGGACAAACAAACTCTTCACTTTTAATGTAGATATTCTGTATCCTTTAGCTTTTATATGCAGCTTCATTCACATTGTGCTAAAAATGTTATATATAAGACTAAGTAACTTAACATTTTAAAACGAGATGTTCCTTTATGCATTTTATGCTTTATCTATAGTTTTACTCTATTGATAAGTAATACAAGTTTATTATATTCAAAATAAATTTTTATCGATTCTTGAAAAATATCGAATCGGAGGACTAGGGTAATGTAATCAAAATAAATGAATTTATAAATGTCAAATTTAAATGCGGGGAAAACCGCTCGTTATATTAGTAGTTGTTTTATATAATAATTAGAAATCCAGACCACTTACATTTCCGTTCGAAGTCTCATTTACGTCAGTACCGGATGAATTAACATAATATCAAAGAAAAACATCATTAATTTTGTAGGAGTTTTTTTCGCTAGTCGAGGGCTTAAAAGCATTCCGTTCGTCGATCGACTTGTTTTAATGATGATTGCGGATTAAAAATATTGATACCGTTTCTTCTTACGAGTACAATCGCGCAAAAATAACCAATGATTAAAAACATAACTTATAAAGTAATGGTTACGATACATTACTTAGTAATTGTTTTGCGTTATTTTTAAAAGTTCTGTAAAACATTTAAGAAAAGATAATGCATTAATGTTCTTATATGGCCAAATTTGTTTATTTAAAAATCATCACTATGAAAGTATATTTTTATATATACATAATAGATAGGCTTTCAGCTTATTTTTTTAAATGACTACATTAAAAAGATATTAAATCCGAAACGCGATTACACTTCAGGGCTTTTTCGTGTTCTGATATTCCTATCATATCCAAATTTTCCAGACGAAGTTCGAGAATAACTTTAATATAGCACGTTGAACTTGGAGTCAAATCATTACAAAGTAATATTGCTTATAAAATACATCAATAAGTACTATTTGTAGTTTACGCTAGTACTACACATTTTAACAAAATTCTTGTAACGGTTTAAACATGGATATGTAAACTTATTTACACGAAAAGTCGGGCCGTAGTTAAAATAAATTGTAAACAAGATAAATTTACACATTTCGCATTTTAAACCCTTAAGAGTGTCATATTTGAATATATCCTTAACTACTTGGGGTCAAATCATTGCTCAATAGATCAAATTTTTTATCTATCATAGAAAAAATCTTTTTCAATAGACAAAAGTAAACCTTAGCCTGAATAGACGTAATGAGACTTAAATGCGGGTAGTTTATCGAGAGGAAGTAGGTTAAATACGACTTAAATTCAAAAAGATTACATGAAAGCAAAACGTCTCGTTATGAACACTTGTTTTATATTCAAAAGAGTAAAATGCTCACAGTATTTCGCTTTGAACGATCCGAAACGTTCCGAAGAAAATTTTTCAGCTTTGTGAGATAAATTCCAGTATGAAATGTTTTCACTTTTAGCGAATTCAAAATATTAAAGCGGGATTTCTTTTTGCAAGCGCGTCTTTAAATGTCTGTCTACATTTTTGTTTAATTTGAAAGCTATATTACAACTAAGTGCACATCGTGATGTTACTATTTATTGGTTACGAAAGATTTGTTGTACGTATGTTTTCTTTTGTTTTAGGATTTGTACTGTTTGCGTAGGGAACCCTAAAAACATGCAATTACTAACTTCTACCGCAATCAGTATTCAAACTTCATTGGAGCTTATCAACACGCAATACGAGTATTGCCTTTGATATATAAGATGGATCGATACGCACGATCTCTCAACAAGTAAACATTTATTCAATAAGCGATTTTTAGGGTTCCTTAGCCAAAGGTGAAAACATGACCTTATTTCGAGTCATTTCTTCGCTCTACGTCAGGAACCACGATCGGCAGTAACCGGAAAAAATCATTTCTACAACACAGACATGATTATTACGGTACAGAACCAACCCCTTTCGTTGGAGGCATTCTTGACCTATGTTATACTATATCTATACGAAATACAAATTATGGACAAGCCATTACTATATTTCGAAGTAAACAAACGCCTAGTCTTTGTTATAATCCTTAGATATAAATGAAGTGTTTTGCAAATTGTAGATAACGCTAGTGTTTGTCCCGTTGATTGTGCGCAAGAGTTTATCCACCTTATTTTATTATTCATCTTTTATTAAATGAGATCTTACTTCCTCAATGGGACTTGACGTTCTTTTTCCTATAAAACGTGATTTTATATTGATTAATAAATTGCAATTTATTGCTCAAAATTAATTCTTCTACGGTAAACATTTTTAGAACTTTCCTAGTCCCCACGCTTCATAAGATGTCTGTTCGTTTTAGCTAAATTAAATATTATATGTCTTTAAGTGCCTAACTATATTTATTTCGTCAACAGAGTGCCACATCAGTATACATGGAGTCAATGCAGATACTAGAACAATGTCGGAGGAGCAAGGGCGTTTTGGGAGGTGTCATTTTGTATAATAATAAGTAAGTATCTCAGTCAGTAACAAAGACAGAAAACGACAAAAATATCGAACATACTTCCAATAAGCAATACTAAGTACAAACCTCGGGTACAGTTGATAACTCCTGGCTTATGTTCACTATTATTGCAGCGTGTTAGTCTTTATCGTAGTTGGGAATAGAGGGCGCCACAACACTATAACTAGGACATTGATTTTACGAAAAGTTAATCTTACTATTAAAAGCGCACTAGATTCAAAAAAGAATAACTAGTAGTTTCAATAAAACACTTTAACGGTTTAAAACGCGATATATTAGTTGAACTTATTTGAAAATGATTTTAAACTTCGGCCCGACGTTTCGGATGCTTTGCAGCAGCCGTGGTCACGGGGAGACAGAAAGAAGTTTAACTAATATATTGCGTTTTAAACCGTTCAAGTGTTTTATTTAAACGTGTACTACTCGCGTAAACTATAGACAGTATTTAATAACTAGTAGTCTCAAATGGCAGTCACATATAAAAATAACGGAACTAGCCACAACCACCTCACACGAAGCACAGAAAAACATATGATAGCGTGTAATAACCACGTTCGGACGACACATTGAAAAAACTAAACTACCCCCGATTTTTATTCCGAACGTCAGTTGTCATACATCATAGTATTGAGTATTTTTAGTACTTTTTATTGTGCAAATTTAAATAAAACCCTTTCAACGGTTTAAAACGCGTAATATATTGTTGACCTTATTTGCTAAACAAGGCTGATCCGAAACACCAGACACTTTAAGGTGAAACTTAGTTAATGTACTTCGCTTTTTAAACCGTTGAAAGAGTTTGATTTAAATTATAATTTGTGTGATGAAAATAAACGTGTCCGGTTATTTTCGGCCTCCGCAATAAAAATAACCGTTTATTTTGGGACATGGGCGAGTTTCAAGTTATTTTTAGTTCGTTTGAATCGTGAATTATTTAGGATGAGTCCAGAGGGTTTAAGTCCTAGTTTAAATTTTTAACGAAGTGAGGTTTAGGTGAAAATGTTCTGTACTCGTCTATGCGATAAACAAAATATATATTTTTCTAGTCATAATTAAAGTATGTATTTAACGTTTAATTGAAATCGAAGTACAAGAAAACATTACGATTTTAAAGCCTTTGCCGGACACGGATAAACACGTAAAAAAGATAGATGTTTACTCTGTTATTTATAAGTAAAAAAAACATGCTGCGACACTTTTACGTAGTTGGGGATAAAAGTCAAAACGCTTTACGTATTGGTTAGGGTTTTATTGTTTATAAAAAATTACGAAAGATATCTAGTCGACAACCTTATTTCTAAAAATGTGTGTGTGCAAAATATTCAAAGCATTTGATGATAACAGGTATTAGATGAGTATTTTCTTGATAGAATATCCACACTGTGAACACGTGGTTTTCAAAGAGATTAGATTACAACCTACGCCTCTGTTTTAATGGTGTTAGCAAACCGGTTTATTTTTTCAAGTATTCATTCATGGTCCAATTAATCTGTTATTTAAGTTATAAACGTCTCATATCTGCTCTCGCGCTCTGATCCTTAGCGCTATATTAGACTAATGGACAATTTTATTTATTTGTTTACACTTTAGTCTACCTTTACAGGAAAATCCTATTGCGATAGAAATACTAAATGTTACATTTACATAAAATGACAAATGAGATGAAGTGATATATTTGTAAATACATATAAGCAAAGCTGCACGTGAATATATCCCCTCCTGCAGTTTCTTGATAACCTGCATAGCTCAAACAAGAGGGGATTAAATGCCTGCCTAATAATCATTCAATCTACTAGCTTGACTTGTATTTATTAACTAGCTATGCCAGCGACTTCGAGTAGAATAATTTTGGGCTTTAAAATTTTATTTTGCAAACCTTCTTTTCATTTAAGCTGTTACCCACGTCGGACACGTCCCGTCGTTCTCGCAAGTGAATCTTAAAATACTGTCGCCCATATTTTAGCCTTCCTCAATAAATGCTCTAACCAACACAAAAAATATTTTTCAATTCGAACCAGTAGTTTCGGAGATTAGTGGGTTTAAACATACAAACTCTTCAGCTTTAAATATTAGGCTAGATGTAACTAACCTACATTGTAAATATCGTTAGACTGTAAACTAATTTAACCTAACCAATTGCTTATAATTTACCGGATTATTTTTAGTGAGTTTACACACTATTGCATGTGTATTGTCTGTTGTTTTTTCTAAGCACTAAAGCGAATTAACAAGTACTGTTCAAGTTCTTTGTGATTAATAACTCCATATATTACACCATTATAATTCAACCTTAGTCTTGCATCACATTCCCTGAAATTTAAGGCTGGTTTACACACAATATTTTACGATCACACTTTTCTGCGGCTACAATACAATACATATTAGATTTCCTTCATTTCTTTTAATAATCATCTTAATCAAATTGTAGTATAGCTCGCTACAAGGTGCATTATTCGACAACAAACATAACCCCATACAAAAAACGATAATTATTTCCTATTCTTATTCTTTCTTTCTCAAGCTTCCCGACCAAGCGAGATACGGCTAACCTTAAGCTAACTTTTCCTACAAAAAATCTTGTATATAAGAAATCCTGGTGAAATATTCGCGCAATGGCCAAAACTTAAAGTAGCAAGCCTACAGCGGCCCTAAAAACTTATTGTACAAGACCGCAGGGGCCTCAATATTGATGACATTTTGCGTTGTTCCTTAACGATTACCGTTAAAAGGGCTCTGTTTGGATCGTACTCGTTTGAAATTCCGGAGTTATTTTAAGGTCGACTTAAATTGTATCTTGCGCAATAAGCTATTCAATTGTGCAATACTTTCGTTAGATAGAAAAATAAATTTATTATTAAAGTGAGAAACCCCCTTTTTCTTCAATTGCGTCAATCACGTGGCGCGTCTAAGCGAGAAAAATACAAACCATAGTTCTTGATAGACGTATTATTCTTTGAGTTCGTCGTAATATCAAAATTCCTCTTTTTCTACGTAACTAAGGATAAGAAACTTAGGAGACTTGGCATTTGGTGCTACCCGCACCGTCTTATCCGTTTACAATACAAGTTATATATACAAGTCTATATAAACTGACTACATGGAGCTTTTTTAGATCGCGATAGCGTCATAAACATTATTTTTTATTAAGTTTAACAAATATATTTCGCGTTTTAAATCGTTAAAGTATTTTATTTAAATGTATACTATTATTAATATTATGGAATTTCTAGTGGAACTAAGAAAACTAACGAAACGAACGGTGTGAAAAATAGATAGTAATATTACTTAAATACTTATTTTGGATTTTACTGTATAATTGGGTAGATACTGCTTTAAAACTAACGAGTCGTTCACAAATTTACTATAACCTAGCAACACGGTCGCTCCGCGTATGAATGTAAATAATAGAGTCGTCCTCAAAACCCTTCTCACGCGCGTTTACATATCACTTGCTCCATGCAGATGATAACACGTTCGCAATTGTAATAAAAATCTTTACAGGTTTGTTTTTTAAATGATTTGTGTATTATGCAGTACAATTTGTCCGTTAATTTTTAACAGACGATGTTCTATGTCTGAAAATTGATAGAACTATTCCTAAAATTCCACTAGCTCTGTGTCCATTTGATGTGAAATGTATAGAGCCCAATTTTTATATAATTTTATAATGTATTCAACTTTTCCTGAGGTTTATGAAACAAAGAACAGGAAAAAATCTCTAGTATAGTTGAAATCATACAATAGCTACCTCAATTACATTGCGCGGGAGGTGCCCGTTGGAGCGCGCAGGTCGAAACGCTGTGGACGCTAGTGTCATCATTTTTTTTTCAATATAAATAGATTGTTAATTTATACAATTATCTATTTATTTAATTATTAATATATGTTTAATAAATTGTAGATTTACTGACGTTAGAATTTTCTTTGTTAACAGGATAATTTCTACACAATTACCACCGAGCCTTACCTCATACCTCACAGTGGTGGACCCATATAGAATAAAATCGCCAGCTGAAACCTTAGAGACCAATACGCCACTTCCCCTCGGGTCACAAGTACTGGTGGTCTACGTGGGGCGCAAGACTTACAACAATTTGAAGAAGCAAGCAAATAAACTGCAAGATTTTGCTAGGAATGGAGAGGAAATGATGAATAGATTCAAAAAGGTATTATTGTTGAGCAAAAAGCTAAGAGATATAGACTACGTTTACATGATCGAGAACTTACGTCTTAAAGTGTTATTTAATCCTTTTATGAATGCATACATGTCGTTTTTCTCTTACTCTACTACTACACTAATTAACATAATAATAACAACCGTTTTAGAAGACAAAATTATTAATAAAATAATATTAAAATAACACGTAATATAAAGATACACAGGTGATTTAATAAATGCCTTTGCTTAATTTTATTTGATTGAAAGATATCTTGATTACAGACACAAGAGATGGAACGAGAAAAGGCCCGAGACCTACCACAATCGGGCATGAAGCGGGACAAATCCCTCCTCTTCACAGCTGTCCCAGAAGAGGATCACACCATGATATCACCTCCAAACAGAGAAGAAATACCCGGAGAAAAACGCAAACCGAGCATGCCCGACGTGGTTCCCTTCGCAAACAAACCTAGATCGCGACCGAACAAACTATCCCTCAGCTTTAAAACACAAAAATCCCTCGATGAAGACTTAAAAGAAAACGATAATGTATTCACAGGACAGACCAGTGTGTGTTCAACGCCAATGGTCGAGTATAAACGACTACACGGAAACATGCTGTCCATCTGCCAAAACCTCGAAAGCCAAGAGACAGACGTCGAGCCTGACGTGTTGAAGAACATCGAGAACAAAATCGACGAGAAACGTGACAATAAAAACGTCCTAAACACAGATTGCGTAGCGGAACATTTTATAAACAAACCGGAACCTTTAAGGAAGCTCGCCAGCGTCACAGATCTACAGGACACCTTCAAGAAGATATCCAGAAACGGCTCGAAGGTCATCTTAGAAGAGTTATCACCCACGGTTCAGAAGAAGAACCAGAACACGATGACGATTAACGACCCGTCATTCCCGGTGTTTAGGAATGACGGTATCGCGATATCAGAGTCATTATTTAACCAGTACTTGGAACAGTATTATGCTGGAATGAAGGACAAGAAAGAGGACAACATGTTCAATTTTAATTTGAAGCTGTGCGAGTTGGAGAAGTTTCAGGATTTCGACTCAGAATTGGCGAAATCTCCGCAAAGGACGCCGAAGAAAATAGCAAAGGATTCGACGAAGACTCTAGCCGTCACCGATCAGTCGAGACGGAAGTCTCTCTCGTTACCGCTCAAATCTTTAAATACGGATCAAACTGATTCAGATATTGGCTTCAAGAAAAAATTGAGTGGTGTACAATTAACACCGTTGATGGAGAAGCTGAGCCACCTTGCGTTTTCGGATAAGTCAAGCGGGTACAGTAGTAGAGTCATGACGCCGCTTGAGTTGAGGGATATACTGACGCCGGGTTTGGAGAAATCAATTAATTTTAGTGAAAGGTTTGTGTTTATTGGTTAAATAATACAGTCCTGTTCATGTTCAAATATTTTAGTAATATGAATTTCTTTTCTAGATCCAAAAAGGCCCGTCCGGAATGGGACAGTGAATCGGAAGAATACGAATCAGACCCCGAAAGCGACATACCGGAATACAGCGCACACGCAGTCAAATGTGCGTTGTTCGTTAGCGGTTTACACAATATGGCGCTCCTTGCACTAATGGACGTGGAAGCAGCGAACGATCCGGACATAATCAATTCTTTGGTAATTTCCAATTTTAATTATACCAGAAGTAGGTTAACGTACTTGGAGAAATGTGTCGAAAAATATATTTATGATTTCTTCCTTATAAATTTAAGACGGAAAATATGTGGAATATTTTTTTAATCCATTTGGCGCGATAGATTAATAATTAACAATAAGTTAAAATTGGATCAATAAATTAAAAACATGCTCTAAAAGTTTTCCATTTTATGTCAGAAATTTGGTTTATAGTTGTTCTTTATTGGTGTCTAATTATTCTCTACGATAAAGCTCATGTGCCAATTATATGGCCAACTGTTTTTATATAAAAAAACTAGCGACTAAGCATGCTAATTAAAACGACCATGAATCACTACATTAGAAAAAATGTATTTCGCGTCCTAGCTGTTAACGACCTTTGTCTATTAGGCTGTGTCAGGAGCCGCTGCGAGCGTTCGCGAATTCCTAGCTCTATTTCCTTCAAGTCGCTGAGACGAACTTGCATTTTGTTCTGCAAAACGAACCTGAACATTCGACGATAGATTCTCTGGCTTGCGATTGGAACTCGTACACTATAATACATTCCGATGATCATTTTAGGAAGAAGACTCTCCAATACGACAAACTTTGCTAATCTCACTTGGGAACGATTCTTAGCTGCGACCTTCTTCTTCTTGGCATATTGCTATGAAGGATATTTATTTTAAATCAGAGAAATTAAGAATAAACTAACTACTAAAATACAAAAGAAAATATTCATGTTCAAAGCGATATTTCTGAAAAGAACTTTGACAAATGTTGTGCAAAGTGTGATTCCTAATACTAAAACTAAGTAGCTTTGAAAAGAACTTTTTAAGTGAAGCATAAAAATGTTTTAAAAAAATCGAAATATTCAATGTTGTTCGAGCCCACTGCCCCTCTAACGTCGAATTCGCATGTATTTTTAATTTAAGTTCATGATATCTTTTGAATAGAATGTACGATTTCAATAATTAAAAGTAATCATCAGGTATTGAGACAGTCTTGAATATTACATTATTTATTTGGATAAAAAATTATAAATGGTATGAATAACACGGTCTGATTTTGGTCGGCATTTCTATTAATTTGTCAAGTGTAAAAAAGTAGTTATAGTTACGTAACTATAATAGTTAGACATATGCTCTCGATGATGTAGATATTGATATATTCTATAATATTGTCGAACATTTTTTTGTCCTATAATTAATACTTTTCGCAGCGTACGCGAAGAAAGACATTTTACGGCTAATTTTTTTACGCCTTCCGTTGGTTTTAGTAAGAATTTCTATAGATGTCTATAGTAATCAAGTACTAAATATAGCCTATGTTACTCAGTGATAATGTTGCTTTCTAATGAAAAATTATTAAATTCGGTCCACAGTACTTTTTGAGTTTACCCGTTACATACAAAAATACAAAGCTTTCCTCTTTATAATATTAGTATAGATATCGTTTACTGACTACATGTTCATTTCAGTGGGAAACATCACTGAACGCCCTGGGACCGATCGAGCAACAATGCATAGACCCCCTGGTAGCGGGGCCAGAAGCAAACGACTATAGCTACTTGATGCTGGACCCCGATTGGGGGACAGTAAAGAAGGGGGGGCCTTGGGCGGCCATGGATATTGCTACTATGGGACTCATACATAACGAGTTTGAAGAAGATACAGAGGTCTCAGAGTTTATGTTGAGGTAAATAAGGATGCCATTTAATTTTGGACAAGAATACATTTTCCTGACAAAAGTTTAGGTAAAATAAAAAACTTAAAAATTAGATTTGTCCCTTGATGCTGGTCAATACAGTTAAAAAACATCGCCACGCCATCCTTGAATGTATTGCATGCATGCAGTATTTATAATTTTCGAAAAATGTTATAAAATCGTAACATACTTCCTTTTTCTGTCACTGGCACCCGAGATCCAGTTTCGTTGCTTGAACCTTATGTTTTCAAGGACTTCTAAAAATACACCTGCGACCACAAAATAAAATCTTGTTGTGCGATGACCACTCTTACCACTTTATTGCTAATCACATATTAAATTCGATCAATAAAGCTGATATCATGCGAGATCTTATCAACCTTTATAGTCTTTAATATCAGCGACGCATTACTGTGCTACTTTCAGCTTTAAGTCTCTTGTACTCAAGATCCAAATATCATTTGTGTGTCAAACACCAGGTATAGTAAACAGCATTGATCAATTATATATTCTCACAATGTTATATAGTACATATTTTATTGACAGTAAATAAACTTTAAAAGTACCCTCACGAATACATGTTTTTCAACAGAAGCGAAGACAGCGTCGTCCTCGGCGTGTCATGCGGTAAAGCGCAGATATTCTACCAAGAGAACGGCCAACGACAAGCCGGACCACCCCCGCCCTCAGACATTCTAGCCACAGCCCCTCTGAGAGCCAGGAGAAGACTACACAGGGATCACTCGGCTTTACTTCTCTAAAGTCCATATATTATGGGAATCTTGTCTAGGTATAGGATTCTGTACGTTAAATTTGTTTTATTGTTATTTGTATAGTTTACAATAGAACATAGCAATTTTATTGACCCTGCATCGTTCAAATAAGATTTTATGTTCCACGAAAAAAAAGAAATGGCAAAATAAACATGTCCACAAAAGGGTTCGGTTTTCGAAACGAGTTCAGTATTTTCGGGTCTTTTACCTTCAGGGTCCTTCACGATAAAAATAATCTGTTAGAAATAAATAAAATCCGCCTTAGAATTTACTGGACGTAAAATAACAAATTATTTTGTGACATTCCATTATTATGAAATTCTTAGTAACAGCATTCCAAATGACGTGAATATATAATTTATAACGACGTTTAGATGCGACGATAACGTTTAAGGATATACTTATTTATATATTAATTTATTCTTATTTATTTCAATAATGTGTTCAGACTTTGTTGAATCTGGACAATAATTTTAGACTATGAATTACATTCGAAATGTATTCATTACTCGGTAATTAGAATTAGCGGTAGATACTATTAAAAGAAAACGGTACTGTTAATTTTTTTCTAGTAATCAATTATTCGACATCGTAGGAATCTTGGAGAACGTCGGGAGTTTTATATGCGCTATATTCTTCCTACGAAATGTGCATCTACCCTCAACTAAAGCCGTAGTTTAATCCACTAGTAAGATAGATTTAACGGGATCCGTACATATCTTTGATGCCATCTGAAAAATTATTTACAATTTTATCGCTGACCTGAAATAGCGTCCGAACAGATTTATTTTAGGAAATCACAATTCCAGCCAAACTATTTTATGTATGCTGTTACAAGCTTGTTCCGGCCAACCTATCTGCAGATAGCCTGCTCAATCTTGCCGTCTTAGTAGCTTCGCCTTTTATTTAAGCGTAATGTAGTGAGGCTAAGAATATAGTAGACATTGGTCTTTAGACTAGTCGATTAGAGGATTTTTCTGAATACTGTTCCATCTTTGACAATCGAAACACTCTTAGACACAGTTATTTCATTTAACTCAGTTAGGACAATCTCAAAATGTCGAAACTTTTAAGTATAACGCGTTATTTTCGCAATGGTGTTGAGGTTTTTACTGTTAATATATAAATAACATTTTAATTTGGCTCAATGCTACTGAAAAGCTAAGCCGCTTGGGCCAAAATAGGCAATCGTGCAATACTAGCAAAAGACACTTGTATTACTTTGTTTTGTTTCATAGCAGTATTATATTGCATTTCATACGAAATGTTCTCGTTGATAGTTTTGTTCGTTTATGTGCATTTTATCATTGGATTAAAACAATTTTGTCGGATAAAAACGAGATACTCTCTTTACAATTAATATTTTTATTGTTGTAAGAACGAATCCCACAAAATCGTTTTAATGCAACTTATTATAAATACGTTTTTTTCTGGTTTGTAATGATTATTTATTTTTTTATGGCGTTATTTGGTGAAGTATTTGAAGCCAGTGTTACAGGAATATTCCAGCGCTCTCAAGCGGTTGCCACCTGGACAATTACCGCTGTATCGCAAGTTCATACCACTTTTTACCTAACGATTAGAGCTTCAAATTTGCAATCTTCACAAATTCAACATTTGCCAAGTTTTTCGTAAAATAATGAAATCAGGCGTCCAAAATGTCTAAAATAGTCCTTGTTTTAAATCGCTGCGCAGCGCCGTGTCAATCGAGTGCCAATACTGAATGTATGCGGTATTTATTTATTCTATACATAGATATTTTAAGAACTTTAAACTCGATAGTGAGATTTTTGTTACTTTACTCGTACGCGTAATGATATATAATGAGAATAAAATATTACAATTTATATGATTTTATTTTACCCTTGATGATTCATAAATATAACGATTTGTAAAGAATAAAGATGAAACTACAATAGGCTGATTAAGCTTGTGTAAAATTATAGTCTTAACTGGCAACCTGATACATAAGTATCGAGAACAGATTTTTCAGAAACAAGATGCATGAAATGTATTCTGACTATATATTTATAGATTATATTAATATACTGCTAGCGATATTGCACTCCTATTATCTTTTAAAATAGGATACAGCTACAATATATAAAGGATGGAAAGGTTGAGACGACCAATGAAGAATAGACGAATGTATAAAAATCATTTTAATTAACAATTTCACAACACAGCTCTACACTAGAATGCGATATCGTACTAAGGTTAAAATAATAATCAATAATGAAAATATATAAAGAATTCTACATACGGAAACGGACAGAAATACGCACGAGTCACTCAAAAAATATCTGTGTGGTGTGTTATCTGTGAGAAATCGTAAAGAATATGATCTTTGGGCGATCTTCGCAGCTTCGTCACGTGACGATCATATTCTTTGCTTAAATCGCGAAACTTCGGACATTCTGAGAGTCGGGGCGGCCGTCATATTTCAAAATTCAAAACTTCAACACAGTTAGTTTTTCAAGGAACTTCATCCTTTACTTCTTGTTTCAATACCTTTTCAAACAAACAAAATCAATATTAGACTTAGTGTTAAACTTTATTACCATCTAACTTTACATCTAGTGGCGTCGAGACGCTAAACGCTAGCTTACAACTAGGACCATCATCGGTCGGCCGGTAACAGGTACTGTATAAATGCAATGGCCGGCTACAGTTTGGGGTGGTGCTGTATTTAAGGTTATGTAGTGACGTCACCGACGCGAAACTAATACCGACCTGCAAAGTCAAAGAGCAATGTAATCACGACACACGATACACTATACATGGCGACCGATGCCACCGATGTCTATAGGTGTTTATAGAACGATGGCTCGGTACTAAAATTGCGTCTGAAAAACAATGTCATTACGTACTTGCATATATACAACGTTTACACGTTCGTCAATGTCTTACCTGCACAGTGAGTCTACGCAAAGAGAAAGGGCAGTTAAGTATTAATGACAGGCTTATTTTAGCACAAACCTTCACTTGTGTTTGGAGTCTACTGCGAGTGATGGTTGTAGAATAAAAGGTCACTTACGAGGCGAGTACGACCGTTCGCGTTCGTAGCGCCGCGAGGGCCGGTAGTAGGGTGAGGGCGATCGGTGTCTGTAGCCGCGGGCGTAATGTCCCCGCTCTCTGTAGCCGCCGCCGCCGCGGTAGTAGTAGTCGCTGTAAACGGTGCAGATGGAACATAGGTTTAAAAATCTATTTTACGACACGAGCCGGACTTGTACCACAAGGTTCCGTGCTGTGCCGAGGGTCCAGGATGCACGTTCAAAACGTGTTGTAATTGTTTTTTTTTTTCAATCTAGATTTACAATTTTTACAAGTGCCATCGTGTACAATAATATGTGAATCTGTGTGTATCTTTTGGGCAAGAGCAGCATTAAATTCTGTAAACGTAGGTTTCTTATATTTCTACGGTCTAACGCTATCCTTGACAAACTCTCTATTGAATCAGCAATAAATTGCCATTTTCATTAATAAACTTTTTATAATAAAACTGCATCACAATGCAACACCATATGGCAAACATTATTTGAAAATATTTTCAAGTATTCGGTAGTATTATGTAATTGTTGTGTTAATAAAATATAAATTAAAGGACTCACTCTCTGTCCCGACGTCTGTCATATCCATTATCACTTCGTCCGATGCTGAAAAGAATAATTATTGTATTCAATTTCACTGCAAAATAACATTTTTCTCATAGTTTGAGGAAAGAATGAACTTTCCTTCGTACTTATATCCAATTAAATAATAAACATCCGCCGTATACTATTACATATAGATGATTTCTTTTAGACTATACAATGTACCAAAATCTGGTCATCATTACAGAGTATACAGAAATATGTCTATGTGAGCAGCAATCAAACAAAGTCTAAATCAATAGTTAGTCAAACAAAATTATCTAATATTACATAAACTAAAATATAACCAACTTTATCAACACAAAATATGTCAAGGCCAGTACTTCCATAATTTTATTATTCTGTTTGTTAAAATAGGCCTTTAATGGGCTAACGTATCTCATAGCAAGCCCACTCTAAATCTAGTTTGATACTGTTCCAACATTTAGGAATCTGGCATGATATAATTCATACAAGGATTTCTATGTTGGAGAGAAACAAATATCTCATTAGTACTTTAGATAAATATTTTTAAATACACTTTCAAAAAAAATCCAAAACAATTAACGAATGTTTTATATATATTACACTATGTATACGGTGAATTCGTCTCTAGAATGGAACACTTACTGCGTAGGTTTCCCCATATAGATCCCAGGCGTCGGCGTGTGCGCACGCTGCGTGATGGAAAAGTCGACGCGTATGCGCCGACCGTCTATCTCCATTCCTGTGCATTCGTTTTTCGCTACTTTTGCGTCATCCTGTGACTCGAAGTACACGAAACAGAAGCCGCGCGAGCGACCAGTCTGTAAACATTGCAATACAATAATTTGTAAGGGAGATAGTTGTGTGTCAGTTATACTTAATTTTGTCCAAGATTTTTGATATTTTTATAAGGCTCAAACCAAAATCTACTCTGCAGTAACACTGCAGAGCAGATAACAACATCGGGACTGTGACATTTACTTTAATCTTAAAGCAATTCATATTTTTTAATTACAACAAGATAATTTGTTACAGTATTTTTGGCTATACACACCTTAGCATCAATAACTACTTGAACTTTATCGACATTGCCATATTTGGAGAAAATGTGATGAATCTGCTGCTCAGTGGTGTAAAGACTTAGTCCAAACACTCCAAGGCACCGGGACGGTGTTGGGTTCTCCTGAAAACAAAGAGCCCTAAAAATTGTGGTATTGTTGTTACACAGTTAACAAAATTTATCTTAACCTCTCCATAATTAAGAATTCAATCTATAAGACCACCTTACATGGGACCCAAGATAAATGCACAATTTTAAGCAGTAAAACATTAAATATCCCCTAATTCAAACTACTCAGTTAATAATTCTTGTCAACCCAGCTATTATCTAATCCATCCCAACAAACACAGACAATGCGATCTGTCAACATAAACAAATATACTATGTTTTTTTGGTTTAATGTCTTTACAACATCTTGGTCAAGTCAAAAAGGACAGTCGTGTAGTGTTTGCTTAAAATATGTAAAAATACCTCAACCATATAATATGGACACAAGATGCAAGAGAATTCAGCAATTTTATGGCTTTTCAATCTGTTCACGGTTTTGTTAGACTGAATTCATATCCCAACTACTAATTTCTGTCTGTAAGATCACTGTGGCAACCAAGAACCAAAAACATGGCAATAGCCACAGAATATTTGTTTATGGATACATCACCTAATAACCCTTAACCTAACATGCTTCGTGTTCTTCTATTAGCGAGCACATTGCAAAAGTAATTAAGAAGGCTATAACCAAAAGCCTTAAGGATATAGATGGTAACTAGTCCACATGCTCGCTACTAGTAGATATAGTACATAAAAAGCGACAACAATTATAAATAGTTGATAAAATAAGATATTGAATGTAGTCCTGTGAGACTAATGGACCTACAACCATTTATACTTCACTAGAGCAGTGAATCAATCTCTAATTTTGATGTGAGCAAAATACTGAAGTGAAGAAACTTGTCACGGCGAAACTCACAAACTACATTTAAAAATTGTCTGTCTGTGTTTAAATGCATCTATTTTGCATGCTGATTGGCAATCTTTACTTTTAAAGGTGTGCCATTGAGAGTTATGTTGCATACCATTATTAATTATGCAAACAAGACTATGGCATATTCCTCTCATATAGGGGAAATGGGATATCCTCAATAGAAAAAAATAATGATACATTGTACCATTATGGCTAAATTCAATTTATGAGTTTCAAATTGAATTTTAATGCATTTGCATAAGCAACAGACAATATCTACAATCAATAAAAGAAACACGAAGGCGTGCCGTTCTGTACACCGCCATTGCTTCCTCTTACTCTTGATCTATCTAGGATAAAAGAAACTTATATTAGTTACATGGTTTATGGCATTTCACACAAATAAAAAAATTGACAAAAATAGTATAAAAACATTAATTTTTCACATTTACATAACTTTCTAAATCCTCAGGGCCATTTTATCAATGCTCAAACATTTGGTATTGGTTGGTTCAAAGTTATTTAGTAAAAGAAGTTGCCAGAAGAAAACAGAATCAGAGTAAACTAGTAAAGTGGAATTGTTTACATCTATAAATATTGTGCAGTTTGTGAATCAATATAGGGACACTTGCATAGATATATTCACAATTATTTAACATTTTTAAAAGTATAAAAGTATGTATTTTAATAATTGTTGTATACTCACTACAATGCTTAATATGTTAAGTACTACTCCACTGAACATGAAGACATTTCTTATGAGCAAAGATACATTCTATTCATTAAACATTTCAGTTTTGCTTTGCAGCAACCATGGTCATGGCTGCTGCAAAGCACACAAACGTCGGGCTGAAGTTAAAAATCATTTTGAAATAAGTTCAATTAATATATCGCGTTTTAAACCGTTAAGTTGTTTTATTTAAACAGCTGAAAGATTTCAAAACTTGTTAAAGATTGTGATTTAATATGTTTATACACTTCATAAATCAACGTAATTGCTGTTTAATAAGTCAAATAGTACTACTCCAAACGGCGTTTTCTAACTGACAACCCAATAAATAAATTCAATTCAAAGTGTCTTAGATTAAATGGTACCCCATTCAATATGCAGAGAGCAAAGAGAAAACGACCCCCAATCTAGATGAAACACTAACCAGACTCACCCGGTCGCCCGTGTGCCGCCGCCTCGACGACATGGGGCTGTGCGAGTGGGACCGTCCCCGGGAGTACGAGCGGGAACGCGAGCGGGAGTAGCGTGAAGAGCGGTAACGTCGCGGAGAGGCTGAGCGCGAACGCGTCCTGGAGTGGGTTTTAGTTTAAGCATTATCACATACAATATATGCCAAAAATATTATCAGACATACAATTAAGACAAAGATAGTAAAGTGGGGTTCGATATAACCTTAAGATGTCTTGTCAACCTATTTTAGCTTTGGACATTTGGAAATGTGAACCAAAACAAGAACTTGCATATCACTGCCTTTCATCAGTGGTCTGTTCTTTGGGACACTGGTTGGAATTTCAACAAAATAGCCACACATTTGAATGTCTAGAAAATCTTTCTAGACAGTCTTAAATGTTTCAGATAAAATATAATTGATATAATTATAAACATGGTTGATATGGTGGGAATCAAACCCACAGCCTCATTGATAATCAACAGGTTATTTCAATTTCATGTTTTTATTTTTATTATATTTGGAAAAGTAATTTCATTTAATTTAATTTGTTGGTTTTATTCATTCAATATAAGTAAACGAAACTACCACACTGGTCTTATATGATAGTTGATGTATGTTTGACTGAATTATTTGTTTCTTAGTAATAATTATGGATTAATGGGTTGGTAACGGGCACTTCCCGTGACCGCACCTGCTGCAAAGCATCAGAATCGTCGGGCCATAGTTCAAAATAAATTTCAAACTTTAACTATAATATCTCGCGTAATGCTCCACATGAAACAGATTTGCTAGTTATGTTGAAATTTGTCAACAAAACAATTACAAAAGCAGTAAAATGAATGTTGTTAAAATGAAACACGATTAAACACAATCGTAATGCCACTTCCACAGTTCTTATCAAGAGTGGAATGTTATTGATAAAACTTCTGTTGTGTACACTCTGTATTGATCAAACAATTTCTACTTCTTCAATTGTTATTTAAACATACTGTATGTAAATCAATGTGAGGTTCCCTTAAGTTATTGATTTAATTATTTTTTACTAATGATTGATTGTTGTTAATTGTATCATCGGATAAAATTGCAATACTTGTCTGATCTACATTGATTTTTTTCTGCAAACCGTAAACATTATTTCTGTTATGCTAAAAAATATGTTAGACATTGCGCAATTCGTTACCTTGACAACGAGGTTAAATCGACAAAAAACTGATATTACGGAAATAGCTTCAATTATGCGTAATTAAGCGCAGGATGATTTCATAACCCATCGTTTGGCTTTGCTGTTATAATATTGTAGTGAAAAATAACTTACGGGCTCCTATATTTACGGTTAGACGCCTTAGGCGGCGGGGGAGTACGAGACCGGCTTCTGCTATGGCGGGACATCGTTGGGGGCTTCGGTACCGGCTCACGAGATCCATTACGAGTTCTAGATCGGCTTCTCTGAAATCAAACAGAGAAACATAAATAACCTCACGCGTCCCGGCAAAATAACATAGTAGTCTTCGACAAAAAAATGCCAAATTCAAAATGATCAAAATAAAACGTTTTATAATACCTCTCGATCCGACATGTTGCACGAGACAAGTTAAAATAATGACACGGTTAAATAAACACAAATAATCTGACTTAAATATCCAGAGACGCACAATATATCAAGCACAAGCGCCGACAACGCGGTCACGAAGAAAACAAAATGGCGACGGTTCCACAGAAAAACAAAAAAGCGCGCGCCGCGTGTTTTTATTGCCCGACTCGAAGACTCTTATCAAAAACCAACCTAAGAATAAAAAAAAACTCATGTCACAATATTTATTGGTTTTAAAAAATGCTAGACTTAGAAATGATTATTATACACTTGATATTGTTATTAAAAAGGCAGTATAGACGGTGTAGTTAAAAAGATATAAATACTAAAGCATTTAATAATTTACATCAGTATTCATTTGTCAAATAATGTCGTCAACTATCAAATCTACAATCGTCATTCGATAGTGTCAAGTGATTCGGAATCGTATGCAGTGAGTTTAGTGGCGTGCGCTAATGTGTCGTATAAATGTGGATTTTAAATTCGACTGAAAACTTTTAAATTATAATCCTGTATTAAAAAAATAACACATTATGAGTGATACCAATACATGCAACGAAAATGGTTCTCCCGCGGACGAGCCTCAAGAAAAAACGGCGAAGCAATTGGAGAAGGAAGCAAAAAAAGCTGCAAAATTGGAAAAATTAAAAGCGAAATTAGATAAAAAGAGTAGTACACCTGTTGCTGCTCCGAAAACAGAGGTATTTCACATTCCTTTCTTAACTTCTCTCTTTTAGGAATATTGAAATTATATTAAATAGTATTTAAGTTATTTTTTAAGGTTATACTTTAAGCGATGCTGGGTGAAAGGAATTTAGATTACGTGTATTGTTTTACTGTTGCATCACTTCCTTTATGTTCTAAGACAAATAAACTTAATTTTTAGTATGATATAATAAGGTCTTAATCCACAACTATGTTCTATTATGACTCATTCAAAATATTGTATTATATGTCTACACATACATTTCTGCACAGACATAGATTAATGTTTGCTATATAAGATTTTAAAACATATTGTAGACTATGTTAGGGTTGGTCCTTTTATAAGAATACAATTTCAATGTTTATTAGTGACTATTGTAGTGAATGGATTTCAAAATACAATATTTGTGACATTATCTGTAAATTGATACATTTCTTATTTAAATTTTATGTCACTTGAGTGTTTTGTTATGGAATCAAAAAAAGTAAGTACCTTTGTCTTTTCTTTTTTTTTATCATACCAGAAAACATATTTATTTTATTAGGTAAAAGGTAAACCGCTGACTAAACAGGAAATAAAAAGCCTACTAGACTTAGTGGAAAATAGCAAAATAATTACCTCAAAAGTCACAAATGCTACTACCAATAGACTCAAAAAGAAGGAATGGCTTCGCTTAACTCAAAAGTTCAATTCGACAGCAGTAAATTGTCCAAGGACACCTCATCAGCTGCGCCTTAAATGGGATAATCTGAAAAAGTATGCTCGCAAAAGAAGTGCTAGGATTCAAATGAATAAAATGACGGTACAGTATTTATATTCGGTTTACTTTGTAGACATTCATTTACAATGAACTATCTGCTATTTATCTCATGTTTATTATAGGATTGTGGCCCATTTGACTATGTACCACCAGATGAAATATCAGACCGTGTTGCAAGGCTTCTTCTCCTGGTGTCTGGATGTGAGGTTTCACTTGAGAATGAGCAGGAATCTAATTTAGCAGTCAGTGAGGGTGAAGGTAATGTTGACTGGAGCTATGAAATTAAGGATGTGAAAGGTTCGGTTGACTATATTGATAATGCGATGGTATTACAATCACCTCTATCTACTGTTAATAATGTTTACATCAAAAATGTAAAGGAAGAAAATGATTCCTCCAATGAGAGTATAAAACCAAGAAAAGGTATTTATTTTTTAGTTACTGTTATCAGCTTAGTTATTTGAAGTGGGCAAACTAATATAAAAGTGATCATCATCATCATTAATGCATGGTGCATTTTTGCACAAATAATGATTTTATAATTTCATAAGTAGTTTAAACAACATGCATGTTTAAAAATTTTTTTTTTTTGGCTTTTTACATTTGACTTTGAAATTTTCTCTTACTGAAGCTTCTCCTTCAGAAGAGTAGAAGCTTTAATTTGATCACCAATGTATTTTTAGAGAAGGAGAAATGTAGGGGAGATGAAAGTAGGAACCAGAAGAACACAGCTATAGCTGAATATTATATGGCTAAGAGGAGAAATTTGGATTTGAAATATTCAAATTTGCAACATAAAAATGACAATTTGATGCTTAAAAACAATAAACTCTCTCTACACAATGAAAAATTACATTTGGAAATTCAACATTTGAAGTTGGAATTAGAGAAATTGAGAGAAACTACTTGAATGTTGTAAGGATATATAAAAATATCGAAATGGGTCCAATACATTCCGAGATTGAGTATGCGAAATTTACAATCATACTGATGTGCGGCTAATTGAACGAAATGGAATATGCTGCTTAACACCACATCAAAAAATGAATAATGGTTCGTTAATACAACAGATGTTATACAAACTGACAACATTAATAATATAGTAATTTAAAATATTTGTATGTTCGGATAATAAAATTGTATGTTATGTATATTTTGTTTTCTTTCTAATGGTTGCGCCTATAATAAATAATACTCATTTTGACATTTAGGAAAAATTATGACTATTCAGAAGGGACTTAGGAATTTATGCACCGTTTAAACTCTTTGTTTTTTTGAATAAATTGTAAAATTATTGATAAGGTGCGGTTACCAAACACATTTATATAATTGTAGGAGACTATAAAAAAAACAGCCATCTAGTAGAGCCCTCTTGTGACAGCGGATTATGTATTTTTAAATCGCCGAGTTTAGTTTTCGCGTATGCTCCTATCAAGCATGATCACATATTTAAATAAATCACTTACTATATTTGGTAACCATTTTACTACTACTATTATTAACGTGGGTAAAGATAAATTTAGAACCGTAAAGTGTTCAATCTAAAATCGATTTTTAATTTATATAATGCCTTCATGTGCAATAACATGAGAAACATTTTAATTTAGACCGATAACGATCACAAATTCCATTGAAGCAGTAGTTGGTCGAGCGACTTTTACTGTGCATATTTAAACTTCTTATCTGGAACATCTATTGGAGATAGCTGTATTACGATCGGGATTGTATACGATCAGAGTGATCCGACCTATATAAAGGTGTTTAAACTTAAAATAATTGTTATAAGCGAATATAATCAGAAAGAGGTCAAATAAGTTGTTGTTAAGTTGGGTTATTATAAGAACATATAATCTCAATTCGTCTTAAAGTATTTCCAAGATATCGAACGACGATAGCGAAGTTAGTGGCTTAATTACAACAATATTGGTCCGGAAACCAGTAAACCGATTAATACAACTTAAAGGTTATTAATTTAATACACATGTATAGTTTGGAGTTTTTGTATCAAATCTCAATATAGAAACTGCAAACTGTGTCTCTATATTTTCAGAAGTCTTGGTCCTACACAGAGCTGGTCCTAGACCACGACCACGAGTGGGCTTTGCCAAAAAAAGGGATTACGAGTCCACTTTCTTCTTGTTTATACAGTTGCACGACTTCACTCTCTTTACTCGTGCAACTGTATAAACAATTTTTTTTTTTAATTATCAAATTTTCGAGGCCCACTCAAGTGCGAAGCCAGACTAGTGGCTTAACGGTTCTAGGGGTTTACTTAGACTCATGGTTATCTTTCTGTTACAGAAAAAGACAAAGGAAACAAAAGAAAGTGCAGTGTATACAGCCCAAACGGCTACTGGTGACAAGAAGGATATAAATGGCCCGATGCCCGATGCCTACAGTCCAAAATATGTTGAAGCTGCCTGGTACGCTTGGTGGGAGAAGCAGGGCTTCTTCAAACCGGAGTATGGGGTAAGAACCACATATACTAATATAAAAAAAACATTATCTATTGTGACAAATTATTTGGGATCTCCGTAGCTGGGTTAGATTGATGGCTGATTGATTCACACTTGATGGCCAAGAACTATATTCTGCATTATAATTTATATAGATAAACTGACTAATTAAAATTTGTAAATAAAATAGAATAATATTTATTAATACTTAGATTTAAACCTATAAACAGTTTTTTGCTAATCAGTTCATGACATCTTATAACTTTTACAGCGTAAATCAGTATTGGAGCCAAATGCAAAGGGTCAATTTGTGATGGTGATTCCACCACCGAACGTCACTGGGTCTTTGCATCTTGGCCACGCCCTTACAAATGCTGTCGAAGATGCTATTACCAGATGGCATAGGTAATATAGTATTTTAATAATAAAAAAAATAATTTAAAAATCGAAAATTTTTTTTTAATTTATTTTCGATTTTTAAATTATATAGGGCCTTATAATATAATTAAATATGTTTTCAAAAAAAAAATCTTTTTTTAGTTTCCTCTTTTGAACACTATAGAATTACGACGGACAGACATTTTAAAAATAAAGTGTATTTTTTTTGTCATTAAAAACTACTTACGATGTATCTCGTTCAAGAGATTTGAAGGAACGTGTATTTAAATGAAGCACTGTAACGGTTTCAATTTTTTATTTAAATACTGTTTTATTTTTAAAAATTTAAAAGTGGAAGCGTGTAATTGGTTTACTGATATCTAATTTTTTAATAAATCAATGTGTTTTACTAGTGTAAACTACAACATGGATTCAAGAAGGCTCTAACTATCACTAGCCTAAACAGTATTTGTTGCTTCCGAAAAACATCAAACTTGATATTTGTTCTAGAATGCACGGTCGGACAACACTATGGAATCCAGGCTGTGATCACGCTGGTATCGCGACTCAGGTCGTTGTTGAGAAAAAACTATGGCGAGAGGAGAAAAAGACCAGACACGAGCTGGGAAGGGAGGAGTTTATCAAACGCGTCTGGAATTGGAAAGAAGAGTAAGTAAACAGTGTTCCACGTAACAACGGACATCAAAAAAGTATTAGTCAAATCAACCGTTAGAATTGTACGACTAAAATTCCATTTCAACATCGAACAATATATTTATATACAACACTCATTTTATTCGTTTTGAAAAAAATATATAGTTCGAATTACACAAAATAAAGTAATCTACATATTGTAACACTTTTAAAGTGCTAACTGTGGAAATAATATAAAATAAGGTAAATAAAAAATAGGAAATGACTAACATTTTATTATTAGGAATTAATGGGTCGTGGATAGGAATTATTTTCTTTCGCAAAACCACCTCCTCACCAGATTAATACTTCCTTATTTAAGGTTGGATTCAACACTGTTGTCAGGCATAGGGCAGATGGTCGAAGTGGTAAATTTCAATTTCATGTTATTGCAGAACACTTGTCCAATTTGTGGGTCTGCAGCCCCAGACTTGAACCTTGAACTTGGAATGTTGATTTAATACCACTTAGTTTATCCTTATTTGTGCATAATTATTGTGCAAAAAGCCTAAAGGAAAATAAAAAAACCTAGTAAACAATACAGCACATGGATGTGGTAGTTACAAAGACAAAAATCCAAAAAGAATACATATGAAAAAAACTAATCTAATAAACACATGTTCTTTATTAACTAATGTACATCTAAGAAACAAAGACTTACCCAATTCGGGGAATAAATATTAAAAATATAGCATAAAGTCCTAGTCCTGTTATTTTTTTAATATAAAATATATTAAGGACAATTTATATAAAAATCACACAAACACACTACAAACAGCTGTCGTGCGTGCGCGCTGAATCTCCTTTACATAAAAATGGCCTACCTCAACCCGTCCCCGCGCTTCACTGAAGCGAGCGTTCACGCATGCGCAAAGGCGATGTTTCTAACAAGTGTGACAATATCAGTTTATTTTGTGTGAATATTCTACAAATACTCATAATCTTAATACTTCGTGTGTCAAGTTAAGCAATTTCTTTAACTAAAACAACATCTATACAAATAAATCATACAACACAAAACTACAATTATTTAGTGATAGGCCAAACAAACAAGTATGACAAGTGTTGCTTAAGAGTCTTTTTTATCTTCCTCTTGATGATAAAAGTTTTTAATTGTAATTTGGTTCGTTACATTTCGTTAGCAATGTAAACATACATTAACCTAACCCACCTAACACACTTACTCCCTGTTACATCTATCAACATACATACATAAATAACAATGCACTCGCTTCATAATTACACCAACATACACAACATGCAAATATTCACTCGGTCTGGCATGTATAGATACTAATAATTAGCATAAGTTAGCTTCAAGATATTTATTGTTTGTGCTCTGGAAGAGATTAGATACCACCCATGATACACGCTTGCCCTAGTGTGGGGACTACGGACTCTGCACCATTTATACGGAGACATAAAGAATTTTTGATTTTGATTGAATTAATATTAATTCTAGGAAAGGCGGCCGCATCTATGAACAACTCAGGTCCCTGGGTTCGTCTCTCGACTGGTCTCGGGAACGGTTTACAATGGACGCGACTATGTGCCGAGCTGTAAATGAAGCCTTCATACGCCTACATGATGCTGGAGATATCTACAGGGCCAACAGACTCGTCAACTGGTCTTGCACTTTGAAGAGTGCAATATCCGATATCGAGGTGGACAAAGTCGAGCTGACCGGACGCACTATGTTGTCTATACCAGGCTACAATAACAAGGTATGTCGTTTATTATAATTAAGTGTGCACGTTACTTCGTCCGCGTACTGTTAATCTTAAGAGATAGACATATACCGTCGCGGACATTTAATTTAAAGAGACAGGATTCTTGACTTGTTGTTGCAGTGCACACAACGAGAACCCCCAAAGTTATATAATAATAAATTTCCCTTTTTTTTTCTCTTTTTTCACTGCACCTATTGATCGCAGCGTAATGATTTAGCCTAAAGCCTTCCTTGATGAATACTCCAACCAACACAAAAATAATGTTTCAACTCAAACCAGTAGTTCCTACTATACAACAAACAAAATCTTTAGCTTTAAAATATTAGTTTAGATAATAAAATAAGCCATACACTTAGAAATAAAGAAATTTAGAATTTTTTTTAACACAATAGCAACCTTTGAGCCTATAAATTACTAAGCACACATGAAAAATGTTTGATCCAGTTGTTTTTTACGGTAACTATTAAGTCACGTAACGTATTTGTAACTTGCCATTTGCGTGTAGAAATCTTATTCATTATTGTGTTTGCAGGTGGAATTTGGGGTGTTAGTACACTTTGCGTACAAAGCTGAAGATTCTGACGCAGAACTGGTGGTGGCCACCACTCGAGTAGAAACAATGCTTGGAGATGTGGCCGTTGCTGTACATCCAAACGATGCGAGGTATTTCGTCATTTTATTGAGTTACACATGCGGTGCTTCTATTTGTACCATCCACGAAAAACAAAGTCTCGAGATATCTTGACTATGGTCCTTCGGGCCGGATGTGTTTGGTTTTTGCCGTTAACACGTTTATTTTATTTTTTTCAGATACAAGGCATTAATAGGGAAAATGTTGCTTCATCCATTCGTAGATAGAAAATTACCAGTAATTTCTGATGAATATGTGGATATGAATTTCGGAACCGGTAAGTACTGAAATTTTTTTATAACTTTAATTACTGTATCTTTAACTATTTATTCCTTAAAATTATGCTATTGTTTGTAATAAACTAAGTTACGTTTGTACGTACTGAGGTACGTTTTCTAAGTTTCTGTATGTTAAAAATTAAAACTGTATTTAGGTGCTGTGAAGATTACTCCTGCGCATGATCAAAATGACTATGAAATCGGAAAACGACACAATTTAGACTTCATCACCATTTTCGATGATGAAGGCAAAATGCTTGATAACTGTGGAATATTCTCTGTAAGTAATTTTTTTAAATATAAATATTTACATTCATTAGTACTTTAAGGCGCCAGGAAAGTATCCACATTTGTCTTTTGTTAATTATAGATAAACAAACTTCCTAATACTTGAACGTACAATCATAAAGTAGGTAAAATTATGAATGAGATTTCGTAATATTTATTTGATAAGACAAAAATTCTGAATTTCAGGGTAAAAAGCGCTTCGATGTCCGTCGTGAAATAATAAAAGCATTAGAAGAGAAGAAACTATACCGAGAGACCAAAGACAACGCTATGGTGGTGCCTTTGTGCAGTCGGTCCAAAGACGTGGTTGAGCCCATGCTGAAACCCCAATGGTAAGCAAAAAAAATATAAGTAGTTAAAAACTCGGCAGTATCAATAATTCTCTTTATGTATTTACTTCTGATGTATATAAATTCGATAGTTTAGTGTTTTGTTTCAATTGCGGAATCAAAATAAAATAGGAAAATCGTTGTTATCACATAGACACTGTATGTAACTTTTCCTACAACCCAGTTTCAGTGAAATTTTGTAGGAAAAAATATACCACCCGCTAATCATTGTACATCATTGTTAGTAAGTGACAACACTATTGACGCGGTTCCAACTATTTTCAAAATTGTCCACCAAAATCCTACTCCTTATTTTACTTTAAAATTACACAGGTACATCAAATGCGACAAAATGGCGTCCGAAGCAATCAAGGCTGTAAAGAACGGCGATCTAAAGATTACCCCAGACGCTCACGAGAAGACGTGGTACCATTGGATGGAAAACATTCGCGACTGGTGCATCTCGCGGCAGCTGTGGTGGGGGCATCAAATACCTGCATATAGGGTCACATTGCCAGATAATCAGGTAAATTGTATGAATAAATATATATAGGACATAAATATTATGCTACTTGTGACACAGGAATATCATTATTGCAATCAAATCTTTGTTATATTTAAACATTATAAGAGCAAATATTATATAAAATAAAATAATTATAAATTTATTTTGGTCCTTTGAGCCGGATGTGATATTAATAAAATACCATTTGCAAGGAAAGCGAAGAACCCTTATACGTAAAACCACGACGACGACGTACCCGTTCGGGCAGGAAAAAAGCGCCGAAGCGTGCGCGCGCGCATTGCGTACGTTCAAAGTTGTCGGATGTATGTACGCATGTTACGTGTTAGCTCGGCTTGTTCGCACACGATTTATCATACATTTTCTGAATACTTGGAAAATAATTTCATTAACACGGTATTTTAACAAAACATTTGTCCATGGCTAAATTCCAAATAGATTAGTTAACCTCTTTTCTTACGACCCGACGTACCGGAGGCTTACAGCAGTAACATTGGGGGTTACAGCCCGAAACCGTAAAAGCTACTGAAACGTCGGGTCGTAGTTGCAAAAATAAATTAACCAATAAGTAAATAAAGTAAAAAATGTATTCAAAATATTCAGAAAGATGCTCTTAACGAGGTTTGTAAACTTCATTACACCATTTTCGTGTTTACATCCTAAGCATAAAAGCATGTATTTCAATTTATATATAAGCTATTTTTTATTTTGCTTTATAGAAGATACATATGCAATGAGATTTTTTAAGCAGAGGTATAGATGGAAAGGTATTTATTATGTGTATTCCTACAGTAAAACGCTATAATAATTTTATACATAAATTGTCAAAGATAACGATGAAGTAAACATAAATGATAATAAAAAAATCAAAAATGATATGACAAGTTAATAATTTTATACGATATAAATTACATTAACTTTGCTATAGTAGACCTAGATGTAGGTAGTGTACAAAATTGTTGTTTTTGTTTTTTAATTAAAGTAGTTAGTTGACTAGTACCTACAGTAGTGTCATTATAAGTTATTTTGACCATAATATATATAATTAAGTAAGACGCAACTGATTCTAATTATTATATAATACTATATATATATATATATATATAATCTCACGAGCCGACTGCCTCCAAGCTAAATGGTTGTAAGCGATGTTCAGCATTGCGTTAAGTTCTGGAAATCCTGAGATCCCAGAACCCGGGAAATTATTTTGGCTGGGCAGAAGATATCAGTCTGATCAACTACTTGCCAAATTGTTGAGTGTAATGGACACAGATATGCGTTCGCCCCATACACAACAGGGAAAAACGGGAAATTTCTACTATATAATCTCTTGAAAAGTAAAAAAAGGCACTTCATTCGCATAGACGCATAATTTTAAATTTGATATTAAGTTTACTAATTTTTAACGATTTAATACGCGAAACATATCAGTAACCTTATTTTGAATCACTAAAACTACAACGTCATTGAACTCGTTTTAATTCGTTTAAGGGTTATTTAAATATGTATAACTCGCGTAGTTTCCATCCACATTTTTTTCAGTGAGCCCTGTAAATATATGTTATTATTGCCATTTGAAAAATAATTTTATTTTCTAGAAAGAAGAGCGTTGGATATCAGCGCACTCAGAAGAAGAAGCGCGCAAGAAGGCCAGTGTCAAATTCAACGTTGCCCCTGAAGACATCGGCTTGAAGCGGGATGAGGATGTACTGGATACTTGGTTCTCGTCAGGGCTGTTCCCGTTCGCTATTTTCGGATGGCCTGATAACACTGACGATTTACTGGTAAATTATTATTTAAAAAAACTGCCTTGGAGTTGTGAAAGAATTACGTCAATTACATTTAGTTAAATGTTTATATTTTTGTATAGATTATGATTTTTTTTAGGCTTTCTATCCCACAACTCTCCTTGAAACTGGACACGACATTCTTTTCTTCTGGGTCGCGAGGATGGTGTTCTTTGGTCAACGGTTAATGGAAAAACTGCCTTTCAAGTAAGTTTATATATACTTACTTATAATGCAAGTTTTTTTGGTAATTATGTTAGTCGCCACCGGTGGTTGCAAAACAAACTCATTTAATTAATAATTAATTTAATAAAAAATATTACATTTAATTAATCCTACTTGTCTCCCTGTGCAAGATGCATCAGGTCGACTCTTAGAATTATTCTAATTAATTTGTTATACTAAAATGGGTACGTCAACAGTAGCGTAACATACTGATCGCACGGGTATCGAATACGCGCATTTTAATCGTAAAATTCATTTTAATTGAAATGTTTTTAGGGAAGTATACCTCCATCCTATGGTAAGAGATGCCCACGGTCGGAAGATGTCCAAATCACTGGGTAACGTCATTGACCCAGTTGATGTGGTGACGGGCATCACGTTGGAGGAATTACACGCGCAGCTTTCGGAATCTAATCTAGACCCTAAGGAGATAGAGAAGGCAAAGCAAGGACAGAAGCAGGATTACCCCAATGGTATTCCGGAATGTGGCACAGATGCATTGAGGTACTGTACTGATGGTTTTCTATGATTTTACATATAAAATAAGTTTGAATAAGACACTTTAAACAGTTCAAAACGCAAATTATATTATGTAATTAGTGTTTGATTTATTTAACTACGACCCGACGTTTTGGATGCTTTACAGCAGCCGTGGTCACGGGATACTCATATATGTTGCGTTTTAAACCGGTAAAAGTGTTTTATGTAAAACCAGTGATAAATTTAACGTTATCTTCAATAAAGAATATTAGGACCAATCACGTGGCAACATTTGTTTTTTATGTAACTACCCTCAGTTGTATACGTTGCCCATTGTGGGGGTAATTTAATAATGTTATTATGTTTCAGGTTTGCCCTATGTGCAATGACCCAAGGTCGCGATTTGAATCTAGATATTCTCCGTGTTCAAGGCTACAGATTCTTCTGTAATAAACTGTGGAATGCTACAAAATTCGCACTTATGTACTTCCCCAAGGATACGATGTATAAGGTATGTCTTTTCCATATAATATTTCGTTAAATATACAACAAAATATTATTACTAAGAGATAGATAACCTATTAAACTCCATTAAAGACACAACTCTTTGTACTCAATTACTAATGTATATATTTTCCTTTACTTCACCCAGGTCCACGAAGCCGGCTCGTTACCATCAGGTTTATCTATGGTCGACAAGTGGATGATGTCCAGATTGTCTTATGCTGTACACAAAGTTAACGAGGGATTCCAGACCTACGATTTTCCAGCTGCCACCACAGCCTGCTACAATTTATGGCTCTACGATCTATGCGATGTCTATCTGGTAATATAATGTTTTACTCCTATTAATACTATAAATAAAAACTACCGTCATTTTTATTTAAATACTTAAATGAAGATGTACACCATCAAAATAAGATTATAAACAATACAGTAAAGAAAAATAGAGAGTCAATTAATTGTTTAAGTTCTTTGATTTCATTTTTGAATCTTCTCTACATTTGTCAATGAAAATATAATTAATATTTGTGTCTTACGTCACGATTTAGGAGTACTTGAAACCGGTGTTCGCCCAAGGTTCCCCTGACGAGCAAGAAGCGGCCAGACGCACTCTATACACCGTCCTGGAATATGGACTGAAGTTACTCAGTCCGTTTATGCCTTTTATCACTGAAGAACTATACCAGCGTTTGCCGAGAGCGGACACTTCTTGTGTCTCTATCTGCGTGGCGCCATATCCTACTGTAAGTTGTTGGAGGAATTTACACTGTCAGACAATTCTGTCTGAAAAATGACAACACTAATTTTAACATATATGTTTTAAAATTTTTGTTGCTATTAATATTTATTATTACCTAACCTAATAACCTTAAATATATTTAAAAAAAAATAATATATTTTAGCTCGGATTTTTCTTATTTGGAAACTATTTTTTTTAAAGAAACTCACAAACGACAAAAAAACATTTTAGATGCTTGACATTGTTAATAAAACACGACAAATACTTATAAAATGTACTCACGATGGCTTCTGCAAGGGCTTGAAACGTAGGGTTGCAGTTTATATAAATTACGAATAAGATAATATTTTTTTGCGTTTTAAACCGTTAAAAGTACTACTTGCGTTAACAACAATACTTGGTTGCTTATGTATGTCGGTCGCGGGTTCAAGTCGCGCTCGTGTCGTTAACTTTATAAATCAATAATAAATATTAAGTTAAACAAACTATCATGACTAATATGTTATCATGAACAGGATTCCGACACGCCATGGCATTGCAGGATCTTGGAATCGGATGTCGATAACGTCATGAAAATGGTCCACGCTATTCGTTCAACACGCTCCGAGTACAACATACCGAACAAGACCAAAACCGACGTCTACCTCATTGTGAGCGAGGACCTTGTAATTCTAAAAGATGTATTTGAGAAAATGCAGTGCTTGGCAAACAGTAGGTTTGTTGATGATGTGCCGCCAGCTGGCTGTGCGATCCTGCCCATATCGGATAAAATGGAAGTACACCTGTACTTGAAGGTAAACTTTTTTTAATGCTAGTAGAGGACAGCAAGCTTGACGTTCACTTGATGGGAGGTGAAATACCACGCTGTCAACCTATTCTGGCTTTGGATATTCGAAACTCATATAATGCAAGTGTACTAAACATAATAATTACGAAACTTCCTTCCCCCCGTGACCACGGCTGCTGCAAAGCATCTGAAACGTCGGGCCGAAGTTAAAAATAATTTTCGAATAAGTTTTCCTAAATTATCGCGTTTTAAACCGTTAGTGTTTTATTTAAATGTGTACTACTCGCGTCAACTATAGATTTTATGTTTATGTTTAATGTTTCAGTGTCTAATAGATGCCGAGAAGGAAATAGTGAAGCTCGAGAAGAAGAAAGATGTTCTAGAACAAGCGTTGAAGAAGTTAAAGCAGTCTATGGCGGTAGACGACTACGCTTCAAAAGTGCCCGCTGACGTTCAAAAGAGCAACTCTGAAAAAATGACAACGACGTTGGGAGAAATTTTAAGACTACACACAGCTATACAGACGTTAAAGATATTTTAAATACTTAAATGATTGGCGTCTCTTTTTCTCATTCAAGCATTTCGTGTCAATCATTTGCCAAGTTGAAAATAAATGTGCAGAATAAGAGACAGTAAGTTAAATATGTGTCATGAGCTTAAATTAATACAATGTTTATGTATATAAAGAGTCATATAATTGTCCCCACTGGATCTGGTAAATTGCAATACAATATTTTCCATTTCAATCTTTAATGTTGAAACAGTTTTAAGTGATGTGCATTTTGTTGTATTTGTAAGTTTTATTTAAATGGCGGTGTGTACATTCTGTAAGCTATTTATTTTCTTTTTCTATAAAATAAATGTTTTCACAAAAAGAAAAGTTTAATTCTTGTGCGCTTCGTTGTTAAACAAGCTATAAAAAAAGCGTTAATTAATTTGCCTTAATTAAAAGAGACATGCTACAAAATCACGTTTGTCATTTCTATTTGACAGATGACATCTGACATAAATGTCATTCGTAATTGTGACATGATAATGAAATTGCGAATTGAAATGATTTTATTTATTTACAATTTTCTTTAAATTATAAAATACGTGTGAAAATATAGAATAAAGGAAATTACAAGCAATCAAGTGTAAAAATATTAGTTGCATCTCTTTAACTTTTATAACAAGGAGGTTATTCTCCAGATACTTAGACCAACAGCTGAAATTAAATACTTTAAACTATGGAGTTTCCCGACCTCGGCGAACACTGCGAATATGAAAATTGCAACCAAACTGATTTTCTACCTCTGCAATGTAAATGTAAGAAAGTTTTCTGTCGAGTACATTTCAACGATCATTGTCACTCGGGCAAGTGTGAATTAGCGCCGAAACCTCGTGAAATAAACTTGAAAAATGACGATGACATATACAGGTGTTCATACGAGGGATGCAAAAAAGGAAATCTTCACGAAATGCTTTGCAATAAGTGTAATAAACATTACTGTATAGAACACAGGTTTCATGTGTAAGTATTTAAGTCTAGCATTTCCTCTTCTATATATTAGTTAATTCGTCCATATATCGCGTTTTAAACTGTTAAAGTGTATTATTTAAATGTGTACTATTCGTGTAAACTATAGACAGTATTTGTTCAATTTGTGTTAACTAATTGGCTGGCCATTGAAATGAAAAGATATTTCTTTAAGGATATATTTTCTTTATGCTTTCAGCACATGCCCTGAAATTGATGATGAGACTATGGCATTTAAAATTGAACAACTAGAAGCACCAAGAAGACAGTTCCGTGAGGCCAATAAACATTTACAAGACAAGGTGAGTATTTTGAAAATAGTTAATTCAAAATGATTTTTTTATTTGGTTTAATGAAATCTTTACGCTTAAATTAAGAAAAAGCTATCTTACTTAAATGATTTAACTTTTCTGTCTAACATTTGGTAAATTAGTTTTTTATTTATTTTTGCAGATCACAGAGAACATAAGAAAAGCCTTACAATCGTCAGCTAAAGTGAAAACAGCATCCAAAATTCATTTAATGAGAATAAAACAAAAGGCAATTGGTCCGAAAGCTGTTCCACCCAAAGACAGAACATACTTTGCAATAAGGAAGCCTACTAACACTGAAGCTAAATCAGTTAAAATCGTCAATGATATGGAAAACCTTGTAGATCTAGGAACAGTAAGCCTAGATCCAGATTTAAAAGATACAGTGCCAATATTTATAAATGCCAATTGGAGTCTAGGTAGAGCTATAGATAGCGTATGTGATACTTGCAATATTACAAACAATAATAATAAAATTGGCAACACAAAGTTGAGGCTCTTTAGACAATTGGATGGTTACTGTATCAGCCCTGTAAAAATGGATGTTGAGGTTCAGGAATTAATCAAAAATGAACTTTTATTGGAAGGAGATAAATTGGTAATGGAGTATATTAGTACAGATGTTCTGAACAGTCTAGATGATACTGCGCAAGTGTTTTTAAATCAAGAACAAAATTGATTGGTGCTGCATGTTTGATAGTAAATGATATTTCTTTACAAACACAAGTTTTTTTAGTTAATAACTGTAATACACAATAATAATATCATAATTTACAAATACGTATAAAATTAAAGCATCACTTCTCCATTTTCTTTGATCTGTGACTGCGATCTTTGGTAATCTACTAGCGGTAAAAGCGGCGCGGGCGCAGAAGGGTTTGTGTGAGCGGTGGGAGGGGGCGTCCCCAATTTATACTTCTCTATCAACCAATTGCACTTTCCCGTCCTGGCTATAAGCGTTAAGAGATCTCTGCGGTACTGTTTCGTCAATATCGCATATAGAAAAGGATTCGCACAAGCGTTCAGTGGGTAGAAAAACACTAGCAACACTTTTCCGTGACTAACATCCACTAAGGGAATCCCCGCTAGAGCAGTGACCCCGAAAAAAGCAACAGGCGCCCAACAAAGTAAGTCCGTTCCGATTAGTAGCGCCATTTTATTTGCTATTCGTCTTTCAGCGGCTGCCGCAGCTCCCCGCCCCCCATATTTCTCTCCTCCACCTCCTAACGACCTGTAGATCTGCACGTAACATATCACGATAGTTACCCACGCTATCGCGTTCGTCATAAACAGCGATCCTTGGTACACGGCAACACCAACGTTTTCGCTTTCCACCGGCAGACAAATGGATGTAGACGAATAATCTGATACTCCGACTAGTGGTAACCCAGCCATCAATAAGGAGAACAGCCATCCACCAAGCATGATCTTCGATGCAGCAGACAGAGTGATTCGCCGATCCAAATAAATGGCGTATGTGATCGCAAACCAGCGTTCCAGAGTCACGATCGTTAGGGTAAAGACGGATAGCTGGCCAGAGAACACTGATAGGAAACCAGCTATTTTGCACCCGGTGCCATATTGCCAGTCATAGGCGTAATTGAAGAATTCTCCATAAGACCTCAAATCCACCACGGCCAGCATTGAGAGGTATACTCCCGTACAGAGATCGGAAAAGGCCAAATGGCACATTAGGAATCTTGGCACTGTTAGTTCTGTGTGGTTTGTGAGTAGAACTAGAAGAACAGCGACATTGCCCACTACCGCTGCAGCGACGACAAACCAGACGCTGGCTCGCAGCCACGACCAGCCCATGACGTCTTCGCATGGGTTTAACGCGTCAGGCAATGGCGTGCATTCCACTTGTCGCCGACTGAAAAGATAACATTGGCATATATAAATTGATTTAAAATAATAAAAAATACAACACGTCCCGCCTGTGTTCGGCATCCACAGCGTTCCGGGCTGTAGCAAACCAACTGAGCTACCGTATCCTAATTTTTTTTTTCAACCTTTGCGCCATGTAATTTTAACCTTAACACTTGCTTGTTACGGTTCAGTGTCTTCTGCCTTGCAGCTCAGGGAAATCATTGAAGATGAAATTTCAGAGTTTAATGTTTGAAACATTTAATATATTGCACATGATGGCACTATATAAATTAAAAATCGATTTAGGATTGATAAAAATTTAAAACACAGGCGGGATTTGAACCGGCATCTATAACGTTACGTGCTGGTGTACTAACCAATTGAACCACTGTGTCGATAGATTTTCAATTTATAAGGATTACATTCTTAATATATTGAACTAGCGCTTACAATAGAGGTTTTAATAAAACACTTACGTATGGCTAAACGACCCGCACTCGGCGAACGAAGACACTCCTAGGCTACTATTTACCGGGTCGTGGAAGTCCCCTGGACCTTCGTCTTCAAAGCTGGACGAATCTAAGAAGTAGTCCTCTTCGCTAGCGTAATATTCTTCACTGGTCGTCGCTGTCGTTTCTGTATCGCTGAAAAAATTGTATTTGATAACTGACTGGTATATACAAAAAAAAACACATTTCTCATTGATGAATGTTTTCAAAGGCGTTCAAGACAAGACAAGAAAAATTCTCTTAGCGCATTGGACCATTTATTGAGGAAGGCTTTAGGGAGTAAACATAGGAGCTAAGAAACAGAGGGAAATGTGAAAAAAAGAGGGACAAAAACAGTGCATGTAGAAATGTTTAAATAAAATACTTAAACGGCTTAAAACGCGATATATTACCTATAGTTAAACTTGTTCGAAAATTATTGTTAACTACGGCTCGACGTTTCGGATGCTGTGCAGCGGACGTGGTCACGGGGAGACTACAGATGGAGGATGTCTCTAACTTCAAAGTAAATAATTTTCAAACAAGTTTAACTAAAATATATCGCGTTTTAAACCGTTAAAGTATTTTATTTCTATGTGTAAACTACAGACAGTATTTCAAAAAACGATTTTGTCTTCCTTTTCTATTACGTTTATCTCTTTTCAAAGATGATGTTAGAAGGCCCCTTTAATTTATGGTACCTGATGCACTGCACCATTGGGCTACGCCACTGTTCGAAACTCAATCTATAAATTGAAAATCGTTTTGTAAGCACCATAGAGCCGTAGAGCAAAATAGCCATCTGTGTTTTTCTTACTATCAAAATTATATGATTGTGAAGGATCATGCGTGGATGTGGTATATGCTATAAGATCAGTTATGTACAACGGTTGAATCGAAAGAAAGTAGAGCAGCGCTGCAAGTGGGAGAATAATGAACTATAAAATGGTTGGGTTACATTACACTAATTCTAACAGATTCGACAACTTATCTACGGGTATTATATAATTTCTAATACTATAAAACAATATCATATAGCTGTAGACATTTATGGGAGCACTTACGCTTCAGAAATTGTAGTTAATTTTCCGCCATAATCCGGAGGCGTTACACTTCGTCGTCTTCTTTTAACGCTATTTTTGTATTGTTTACCGCATTTCTGAAAATTTAGATATTAATTTAAAAATGATATAGGAATCTTTTAAATAGCTACTTTTCCCGCTTTTTTCTTAGATGTTTATTCATTTCAATGTAGTATTTTTAACATTTTCTATCCAAATGCTATCAGGATTAAGATTCTGGCCATAAAAAATATTTAATATGCGTGATTTCCATTTATGTAGAATGAGGGCTTATAATTAACAATTATGTAAAATAAAGAGGTACAATTTTACCAATAATACATCAACTAAAGGTTAACCAAAATTAGGATGATATTGATTGTATAAAGCACTTAAATTGTTAGTTTTTCTTTCATATTTTTTTAGAAACACCTCTTAGGATAAAATATGCAAAACTTCTTAAAACCTAGGTATGTAATTGTTACCTGATGTAAATAATACAATTTTAACAGTTTAACACGCTAAATGATTTCGTTACCTAATACATTTCGCCTTTTAAAGTGGTTTATTATTAAACTACAGACAGGGCGTTATTACCTGAGCCAAATTCGCCATCTGCGTTTCGTATAGGGCATGTCTTGCCGGATTGTGTCTTTCAGGAAACGCAAAGGCACAACAGTGGAAGTGATGCGTTAGATAAGCACGTTCTAAGCTCTGAAAATATTACATATTTCCATTATAGGAACGAGTTAATAGAGCGTTGTCCCTTCACTATAATACCGAACAAGAAAAAAATTAAATAAATTCTTATTTATATATTTTGCGTCACCTACAGTAAAGGACTCCATCAATGAGCAGGCAAATGCATTCACAGCAGCATTACCTGTCCATCTTTATCCGTTTTTATAACATTCTGTAGCGGTCAACAATGAGTAATTTATACTAATATATCGAAGGGCCCTAGCCAAGCCCATAATGTGAATATTTTATGATAACAACCTAAAAAAAATGTATGTTGAAATGTTTTCAATATACATTCTTATATAACTTCTCCGTGCCATATTTTTATCTTTAATTATACTTAATACTTACTTGAAACTCATAAATAGATGGAATGTACTTTAAAGATGGCGTCTTTTCAATCTTCAGGGTCTCTAACTTTTCTAGACCCTTCGTCGGTAGAGACGTAATGGCAGTGTTACTTAAGTCTCTGGAATTAAAACGATGAATTATTTAAGTTGATTCATTTGGTGACCCGTAAGCACCTCACAAGTGGAAAAATATTTATGTTGTATTTTTATTTACAAATATTTCGATTCAATTTTCGCGGGGAAATTATGGCTGCATATGAAAGAGTTAAATTTTATATTACGCGTTTTTTGTTTTATTTGAATAGCGTCTGTACTTTACGCGAGTAGTAGACATTTAAATAAAACACTTTAACGGTTTAAAACGCGATATATATTTAACTAATCTCCCCGTGACCATGGCTGCTGCAAAGTGTTGGAAACGTCGGACGGTAGTTAAAATAAGTTTAACTAATATATATCGTATTTTAAATCGATAAAACGTTTTATTTGAAACAAATCAATAATAAAAAGTTATTTTATTTAGATAGTGTTATATTTGGCTAAACTACAGACAATAGCTAATATGTTTTTTAAATAACTTACAATTGCCTAAGGAGGAGATTTCCAGCGAAAGCGTGTTCATCAAGTCTTCGTAAATTCGGATTACCTCTAAAACTCCTGATACAGACAATAAAATATATGATCACAATATTATTCTATCAAATCAATAGTTTGAAAAATTTGCCCGCCCCTGTAGTGTCCAACGTGATTCAAATCAATTTTTTAATTTTTGGGAAACATATTGAATATTATCTGGAAATCTGGATAGTAAATGAGTGGTTGGAATTTCGAAATTCCGTCAGAGTCGCAAAAAGCCGTGATTCGGTTTCAAACTGCGGATTCCTCTCTCATTCATTCTCTCCATCTCTACGCTTGTCTGCCCTCCATCTTAAGATATGGTAGTTAAACTGAGGCCCGGAACATAACAAGTATTCTCTGTAGGGTAGCGTAAGTATAATCAACTGCTCTCCTATTTAAATCAATCAGCAAAACAGTAATGTGCCTAATGCCCAACTTAGGGAAAATATTTTTTTATTACTAAACTATACTTACAGCTTAGATATTTGAGCATTCTTAAATGCATGTGCAGGCACTTCTTCTATTAGGTTGTAGTTCAGTGATCTAAAAAATGGTTAATTTAGGTATTTTTCTGTTACGAAAGCGTAAGGCATCTCCTGTATAATCTTACATTATATAAGAGTATTAAATTAAAAAGCCACAGAGCAAAGCTATATTTTACAAAAACCAACCAAAAAAATAACATGTATATACCTAGTGACTTACACTTGATCTGCGCGGACTCTCAGCGCATGCGCAGGTATTCGCTTTATGTGGTTTCCTTCTAGATCTCTGAAATAAAAGACACACACAGTGAATTCATAATTACACACTATAATACTGTCTATAGTTTACGCAAGTAGAACACATTTAAATAAAACTCTTTAACGGTTTAAAACGCAATATATTAGTTAAACTTATTGAAAATGATTTCGTCACGGGGAGACAAAAAGCATCCGACACGTCGGGTCGAAGTTAAAAATAATTTTCAATAAGTTTAAGTAATACATAAATCGCGTTTTAAACCGTTAAAGTGTTTTATTTATACACACTATAATATCAAAAAAACTAGACTAATCTTCAGCACGTTTTCATACTTTTATTAAAATGATTGCAACAACGTGATAAAAAAATCTATTGAAATAAAACATAAGGGTTTAAAACGCAAAGTATATTAGTTAATTTATTTTTAACTGCACTTAACTACAGACCTACGTCTAAGATGCTTTGCAGGTCGGTCGGGAAGGGCACGCGAAAACACGGGATTCGTGTTTCGCGTGTTCGAAAATCGTTTCTGCTATTGCTAATTATATAAACATTTTTATTTATAAACAACTAGTTCGTAAACCCAAGTGCTATACACTAAAACTTTATTAGTTGCAGTATAATGTGCGCTTCATACAAATTACGCATTAATTTGTGATAGACGAAAATAGACTCACATCGCTTGTAAATAGGAAAGAGAACTGTTTGTTCCTTGGCGATGGTGATCGTGAACGTGGCTAAGGTTGGGCACTTCCACCAGGCCTGACGTCGTCACCATACTGCAAAGATATAGACCTAGAGGTCACGTGAACAAATAGGAGGAACTATATCAACGAACGACAGTTGATTACTTACACAATAGTTTCAAGCTTTATATAATGATACTTTAAAATTATTTGATCGTATATGTCGAAAGTAAATTGAAAAAAAAATCATTTTATCCATTTATTCTCGATGTTTAATATATATAGTGCCGTCATGTGCAATAACATGTAAGAAGTATTAAAGGTTTCAAACGTTATAACTTTGTAATTTCATCTTCAATGCTTTTCTTAAGCTGCAAAGCATAAAACATTGAACCTTAATGCGCAAGTGTTAAGGTGGAAATTACATTGCACGATAGATGCATCTATAAATAGGGTGAAAAAATCGACGACAATGTGTAGGATTCGGTAGCTCATTTGGTTTGAGCAACAGCGCGGAACGCTGTTTGCCGATTCAAATCCTGACTGTGACTATTATTATTTTTTTCAATTTATTTAATCGTTAAGAAACATACAACAACACAGGTTTGACATTCCTATTTCTATAGCAGGAACAATAAGGGCTTTCCGTCACAAAAAACGTATAGGCCGACTGATTAACTTCTAGCATTTGTCACGAAAATTTTAATACATAAATTACTTAAACAACATGTATATGGGCACAGTTTAAGTCGGAAGTTATTAAGCAGAGTTGAAAAATCGTGCTAGCATTTTTCAAACATACGGAAGATAAACATACATACGTACAATGTGCGGAGTTCGGGCAAAGCCGGCAACGGTGCTATCCTATGGAGTCTAGGAGCTTGCGTTATAAATCTGGTGAACAGAAAAAACATTAGTTATTTATATACATAGACAGATTAGAATATAATAGTAATATATGTATGTAAGTGGTTGTATTGTAAATTGTTTTTGCAGATTATTCTTAAACAGATATATTGAATCGATAAATATATGTTTATTTCATAATCACAATACATTATTTATTATTGCTTATTTTGACTTGTGTTTAAGTGAAAATTTTAATTAAGCTATGTTAATTTCATAAAACTCGTATTAATTATAATATAATACTATGAATTTAAAAAGTTCAAAGAACAAAACTCCAGAAGGATAGTTCCATTTCGTTCTAGACAAGGCAAAGAAATAGTCGTTCAGTGTAAACACAATACACATTCCAAATACATTATATTTTAGCGAGATTAAATTTGAGCTAGCAACAAAATGTACAAAACAACGTTATCATTACAACAGGGCTCAATAGAAAATTTATAAAGCCCGTAAACATAACACTAACTAATTATACTAAATGTCGTAAATTTTTGGAGCTCGTAAAAATAATCTGTATTGTTCACTGAACGCCGTTTATGGCCCATCACGATAATAACTGAAAACTCGGGCTGAACGAAACACGCTATAAAAAAATAATGATATATTGACAGCAGCTGACGACGTCCGTATCTTTATAGTTAGTAAAAGCGAACCTAACCTAGCATTAAGTTAAGTAGAGATCCTAGGTTCAAATCTCGTGGTGAAATTATTTCCATCGGGCGGGGCATAAATGTCAACTTGTCAACTTGTCTGTAAATAAAATCGTTGAACCAAACTGACCCAAAACTATTTGTCCCACACCCCACAGGGGAAAATGGGACCCAAAGTTAAGTTTGTAATAACTAAATTCCAGGTCTAAGGGCAGTTAAATTACTTTTCGTCATGTTTTAAACGACTCAAGATTAAACTTACAATGACTTGAGATTGGGCATCTTCGTCAGATCTTCAACAGCGACGTGTTCCAAATTAGGCGCGTCCATAATTGATCTGGGAAAATAAAGGATAATATTTTTTTACTTATCTTTCATGTCTAATAAATAAAAATTTTATATGAATTGGCTATTTATATACTTAAGAATTGTCTGTAGTTTACGAGCGTAGTACATATTTAAATAAAATACTTTTACGGTTTAAAACGCGATATATTAGTTAAGTTATTTGGAAATTATTTTTAACTTCGGCCCGACGTTTGGGATGCTTTGCAGCAGTCGTGGTCACGGGGCACTGAAGAAGGAGAGTGTCCTTTAATTGTAAGGTCCAATCTACTACGCTAGCGCCATCTGTTTTGGCATAGTTTGTAACGGCATCATGAAATGCGGCTGAAAAGCATCCGAAACCCTCAAAAGTGTTTTATTAAAAATGTACGCGTAAGAAGTCAGTAGGTTACACATTTAAACTTTTAACTTTTAAAACACTTTTAACTGCTTAAAACGAAATACGTATTAGTTAACTTATTTGCTTAATATTTAAATTATATTAAATACGGCCAGAACAAAAAACATTAACTAAAACAAATTCTAGGAATTCGCTTAAGAAATTACATAATTTTAAAACTGCTTCGCTACGCTTTGAACCTGAAACGGACCCATTGCTACGGCGTAGACCCATTATAATAAAATTAGTCGTAGCTTCTTCTAGATTTTTATGATAAATGGGAAATTCTGTAATGGGTGTGTGAATTAAAAAAGTTTTGATGTCCATATAGCTTGAACAGTTTTGATTAAATTTGATACAACGTAAATGTAATAACCTGAGTTTTTATGTTTCGAATTAGAATTCCATGTATGAATAAATAATTTTGTATGCCTATACACGGATTTCTCATTAGCACAATTTGAAGCATAAGAGAATGTGTGACAGACACTCTACTAGTAAGTATATCTTGTCAACTTTCTGTGTTGTTAAAAAAATCTAACATTTCCTGAACTGTCTTCATTCCAGTCTATTTTATTCATTAATAACAACAACATATTTACCCCTAAGCTAATGCAACAATTTAACACTTCATTAGAAATATCTTACAAGTGTTCAACTGTGTGTAGATGGTACCCAGCCAAGTGGATGGAGCGAGCTGTTAGCCTGGTGATGTTAGTCTTCAGCAGAACCACTGACACCCCCTGAGCGTAGCAAGGTCGGACTGAAACAAAAAAATAACAATTATTATTTAATAAAAATCTATTTATCTATTTTAACACTATGGTTTGACAACGACCTGGCAAATTGTGATATTCCCACAACCTAACAGATTTTTAGATATTGGTATTAAAAATGAGAATCAGTTAAGTTAGGTAACAATATAAGCCCGATTGAATTTCACAAATATTTGAATAAGGACGGAAATATTTTGTTAAACAACGGAAAATCGAATCTCAACCTCACCGTATCGTCGTTCGCATTTTAAACATTTAAAAATCGAATATAAATTGAAAACATATACGACACGGACAGGACTTGAACCGACATCCACAGAATTCCGTGCTGTTGCTCTAACCAATTTAAATATTTGTAGCCATGTCATTATAAATATTATCTCCACGTGTTTCAGTTTGTTGATCCAATTTCTGCTAAGAAGTGTCATCTAATTCAATTTACTTAATTGCCGACTTGTTAAATGTTTACAACTTGCATTGGACCACGACGTAGTTTGTTAATTAGGAAAATTCCTAACCAAGTGTGTATTTTTATGGTTTATTTATATTGCAGTATTGGATAAAACATTAATAAAGTACACTCAGCGAATTTACAGAGTAAAGTAAAAAACACACACATTTAAATAAAACACTGTAACGGTTTGAAACGCGATATTTATTAGTTACTTAAGATTATTTTAACTACGGGCCGATGTTTCGGGGAGACTCCCTGTGACCACGGCTGCTGCAAAGCATCCGAAACATTGGACCGTAGCTAAAATGATATTTCAAATAAGTTTAACTAGTATATATGGCGTTTTAAACCGTTAAAGTGTTTTATTAAAATAAAATAATGTTTTTTTTTTGGAAAATCTATATACATATAAGTGATAAGAATTTGAAAATCTCGTTTAGGACTAAACCAGCTTCCTCTGACGACATTGCCGTGAAATACAAACGAAATTAATGTTTTGGTGTTTTAAGTCTAGGGTATTTGTCATTCGGTATTATTTAAAAAGAAAATATAATTTGCAGTAGTCGTTTAGGTAAAATTTATATTCTGAAATTATTAGACGATGTTACAAGATAATCAATACTTTCCTGTAACTTATTCTTACATATCATTAATGTTTAAAGATTACTGATGTTTTAATTTATCTACATACCAATGGCAGTAACTAAGAAATTATTGCATGGATTGTCACCTTTTATTTTGTTATGAGTTTAGTTCTAACTACACACAAGTTTTTCTTAAAACTTATTGTGTGAATGCTGGAATCGGTTTAAAAATGGGTAGGTAGGTGTTATACTAGCGGTCATTGTTAGAATATTTACAATAAAAATTATTATTACTTAGCGATTTTTCTAGCCGTCATCGGCTAGAAAATTTTCAAATTAATTGTGTGTTTTTCTTTCTTTGTTTTTAATATACTAATGTACGTCTACCGAGCCAAGGCTATTAGCAATATACTTAGTCAAACAGACTAAGTATATTGCTAATAGCTCTAATCTGAATATAAAACTGAGACATTACTGTGGTAAATAGAATGATTTTTTTTTAGGAAATTCAATTTAAGCGAGACAGAAATAACATTTAAATAGTATATCGTATTGCCTAGTTCAGATACAGATATTGTATATAGGAATCCCGTAACACAGTCTGTAAATAAATTCGAGAAAACACAGAAATATAATCTGTTGAATGCCCAACACAGGGGAAATGGGATTTAACGTTGATGATTAAACAATTAAACTCGTTGTATCTAGAAATCATAGAGTATTTATTCTATAATAGAGACATCACAGAGTATATATCTTATGAAGTAAAGTCTTACAGATTATGTATGTAATACTAATACATATCAATTATGGAAAGGCAGAAAATTTATTATTAGTTTAAACGTTGCTTATTATGTAATTTAGTCACAAATCCGGTTCAAATTATTTACCAAAACATTAATTATATATAATAGAACAGATAAATACGTATCTAGTATTCACGAATACATAAATTTTCTTTACATATAGTATGTACACAGAAGGCGATCGTGACCAGAGCAATGTGTGTGTTGACATATTATTTAGTAATACGTGACATTTGAATTATGTTGAATTTACATAAGTTTATAGCAAAATCTGTGATGATGATATAACGTAAAAAAAGAAAAACAAGTATCTATGTTCTTCACGCTTATACAATGAGATTATTTGCACTTGAAATTGACATATTGTAGTTTAAAGTTATAACTACAAACTAGCCGCGTAGAATACATTTGGCCATTAAATGAATCGTGTAAGGCTTTCACGGCCATCGTTCAGCATATCATCAGTTTTTCGTGCTGTTCGGCCGACGTGAGCCAGAAGAGGTTCTCGACGTTTCGCCATCACGAACGGACGGCGTCATCCTCGATTGCTCGAACTAGACCGTAGCTATAACCCATAACGTCGTCCGCGTCCCGTCGTAATCTTCAAAGATTGACATATACTGTCACGCACTTTTTTTTAAGATCATTAGGGGGTATAATTCGTACATACATATTGTTCGAGTATCTTGAACCGTTGTTACATATTTCTTGCAATTTCTTCGCTCCTATTAAGCACATCGCGATGTTTTATCCTTCTCATTGAATGCTCTAATTAACACAAAAATAATTGGTCAATTCGATTTAGTAGTTACTGAGATTAGCGCGTTCAAACAAACAAACTCTTCAGCTTTATATATTAGTATAGATGGTATTGGTCCGTCACAATTATAATTCCAGTCTTAAACAATTTGTATAGTAGAGAACATTTAGTCATTGTTTCAAACTGTTTGCGTTCAGTAATTGGGACTGAACGAGTGTATTCTTCAGGTCAATATACTATTTGACGAATACAATAACAGTTCTATGATAATTGTTTACGTCAACTATTTTATATAGCTTCCGTACAATTGAATTAAGAATGGAAACATTTAGTTTTGGAAATTCATATAAATACATTGTTATTGCAAATAACAACAAAGGGCGCTGACATTAGACTAGCAATTCAAATTCAAATTTTAGAATTCTCCGTTTATTCGTGACATATATCCGATTTACGAAGCCGATGTGTTGTTGGGTTAAATATATAGGCAAGTTATTTACTTTTATATAGGAAAATCAATTTGCTCCTGCAAAATTGTATATTTATTAATATTAAATAAAGAGTTCTCGCGTTAACGTCGACGCTGCCATTGTTTTAATTTTAAGTCTAGATTTTTTTAAGTTGTTTAACTATTAACTTAATTCAGTTTATATTCACAGATATTTATTAAAATTAGAAATCGATTTTTGATCGAAAGAAAAAATATGATAAGCGCAGAACTTGAACTGTGAATATACGTTACTAGCTGTAGAAAACGTAATTATGCCATATAAATTAATTTCTATACCTATAATATTTTGGAAGAATAAAATATTTTCTTATTAAATGAAAAATTGATTATAAATTGAAAAAAAATACGACTCGGGCAGAACTTGAACCGGCATCTTCAGCGTTCCGTGCTGTTGCGCTGCTAATTGAGCTACAGTGTCAATTTTTTCAATCTAAGATCGATTTTTAATTTATATAGTGCCATCATGCGCATGAGAAAAATAAAAAAATTTTCAGAGATATTTATTCATTTAGAACATTAAATCCATCCATTTTAATAACACTATTGATAGTTTTAAACGCGAAATGTATTATTTCCATCTTTTTCTATGGCCCGTTGTTTGGTATGTTTTGCAGTGGCACTCACACACATGAATTCGCCCTCTGTGACCACATTAAAAGTGTTTTTTTTTTAAATGTGTACTCGCATTATCTACACATAATATATCAAATGGCAAAGTGGGGCTTGGGATAGATAATGACTTTGTTTCACTGTGTTTATTTACAAGTGACTGTGATCAGCCCATAGCGCACCAGCCTCGCAGCTGTCTTACTCCAAGATTCGAACCCATAGCTTCAATAGAACAACGAAAACGAAGTAATTCGTGGGCCTAATACGCAATTTCGTATAACGTAATCACGAACCCTTATATTGACAGAGCAAGTTTGTTAACGCCCACGACAATTGCCCTTTCCAAGGCTCTTCGTGCAATCAGGGTTTGTTTTTACGTCACTCCTGCTGTGATGTACTTAAGAGAGTGTTACTAAGACCTAAGGCTGTACAGACATAGGTTATTGAAATATTGAAGCCACGGCTAGAACGTATAGATAACAGAGCCACTATAGAGCAGAGTTTAATTCGTATAGCGTAGAGCTAAATATTGTCTCTGCTTTACGCGGCATGTATTGATATCACCTCGAAATGCCGGGTCATAGACAAAATATTTTAATTATTATATTACGCGTTTATACCGCGTTGAAGGTGGTTCAATTTCAGTTTTAATTTATCGAGCATCAAAGATTCTTTTAAATAATGATTTTTAATAAGGCTGTTATGTGGTGGACTATATAAAATACCTAATCGTTTTAAAAGTACTCAAAAGATATAATTTTTTCTGGTTTTCGAGATTGATGTTGAGCACATAACTTAAAGCTTTACATAAGTTTTGTGTTTTACAACACGGTCATATTGGTGGATGGCAAAAAATTTACTAAGATTATAGATTGTATCGTATTACAAGCAAGCTTTTATGCATTAACAAAAAAATATATAAAAATCTTAACCCAAAGGAGGTTTTATACCGAACATAGATTAAAACAGCACACAGATAAAAACCAGGAAACGGTCAGCAATAATCTCAATTTACGTGCAATATTTATAATCAATCTAAAAATATTTTTACGACTCTGTAAAAGGCCGGTCTCAAAAGTGCGTCCGACAGTAAAACGTATAATTTATGTGGCGAAATAAAAGCGATCTATGTACCTAGTACATAAATAAACCGCTGGCAAACATCTCATTCAAGTTCAGATGATTTGGTTGAAAAATTTGAATAAAATGTCGATGAAATTTTATTCGTTCTTTATGTTTGCATAGTGTTTATAGTATGTAACA